TAGCTACTTTCCATCTGTGTTACCAGTACACCACCGCAGCTTTAAACCCAGCTTTTCCCGGTGACAGTGGAAGAGCGAAACCCCAGAAGGTGGAGATATAGTTTAATTCTGCATAGGATAACTGGGTTTGACGGTCGATAGGGTTAGGGGTGCATGATGGGTAAATTCGCTGATGCAAGGTTCGAGATACTTGTAATATACGACTCACAGGGGATAGTAAAGCTTTGATGCCGCAATTTTCATGCTAACCTCATGGCCAATTTAAAGTTTACACTGTATGAAGCAACTATATTAATCATGGTCCGTGAGTTCATGTCCGATCATTACCGGCCATAATTCATACTCTATATATTTCCCGCAACTAACAATAGAAAAACCACTAGCCTAACCTTACCACTTCTTACAACAAAACAGTAGATAACGGCTTGTAGCATCCTTCTCTATAAATGTCCTTTACACCACCACATCTCTTCCCCTAAAGCCCACCACTTCAATCTCAAAAACTGCCATGAGAAATGAGGACTACACCAATTCACCCGTCCGCAACACCTACAAACCACTTCCCCCCCAAAAAAAAAGGTGAATCCCACACCAACACACCCCAAAACCGTTCCAAACTTCTCGCTCCTCCGTTCCTGTAGTCAGCCCGCAAAATATTTGCGTCAAGAGCGATCACTCGACCGCCAAGACACCGTTTCCTGGGGCTCTTAGAAGTACATAGGCAGATGTCTTCTGTCTTCTCCAGATAGCACATTTCCATTGGATATGATTTGCGGTAGGTGTTGTGGGTTAGGATTTTTGGTCTATGGTCACGTCGTGACGTCACGTTATGAGGAATTTGTTACTCTGGCCCAGCCCACGCTTACGAAATACTACCCAGCAGAGCATGATTGATACTGCCAGTTGGCTAAATAGGACAAGTCACAACCATCCGGTTTCAGTTACATGTCCGGCAGGGACTCAACAAACGTACATAGAGCACATAACTCAAGGGTCAGGAGCAGCTGCAGCCTGAGGTGACCCATCAGTTTAACAGGACTAGATATGGATTAGCCTACAGCAGAAGTGATAGCCAAAGCCCTTGGTTAGCACCATCACGCCATACAGGATGCATAGTGCGGGGCCCTGGCTAGACTCGGAAGCTACATGTGCATTTGATAAAACGAGTGATATTATGTGACTCCAATAATAGCTGGGTGTCGGATGACAACTTTGGTTTTGATCAAGGGGGACGTTGTAGGTTAGGTTCTAGCTCTAGGTGCGTATACATACATGTGGTTTGTTAGCTGTAGCTGGCTAATCTGCAATTGTGATAGAGCTGATCGATTTGGTGAATAACGCCAAACGATACTCCATTGCGAGACTTTAAGCGTATAGGTACCAATTATATGTAAACGCATCGTAGAATTCCTCGAGAGAATAGACATGCAGTATGAGTGTATAGTGCTGGTTCATTGTGTGTATTCATGTAGCTACATACATCAGTGTCCCGAAAGTATGCTAGTACGATCGACAAGAGCCCTCAGCTACATGTATGTAGTCGGTTGAACCTCTCTGTCGTTTAAGCATATATGTGGCGTCAGTGCCTATGCATGTATAAAGAAGAAATCATCACGGCTCTCAACTCCCTTATAAACACATCACCTCCCCTCCACCAAACATCCCCACAACAGTAGTCCCCATCATGACCGTCTCTAATCTACCCCGCTGCTACCCCCGCTGATGCTCTCACCGCCCCGCAACCCGAATCCGGTAGACCAGATATAGGTATCAGCCGACATATCATATGTGACACTCTGAGAACTGCACCTTCGAAGGGGAGTTATGAGTGTAGTTCCAGTCTGGTGGCCGTAACGATCCCACTGAAACTTAAACCTATCTACTTACTTCCCGGCAGTTAATCGATATAGTACCACATACATAGTATCGTCAAACCCCGGATCTGGCGGTCGTTGCGCAAGCCAAAAACTCCAGCACGGTACTCTAACGTCCTCAACACTGAAAACAGCAATGATCCTCCGAACTGGTTTTTGAAACATGATCGGCGCTCGTCGTCGTCGTCGTCGTCGTCGTACTGATTTCCTTACAACGATTGGTCTCTGTGGGTAATTAATGTATCCGATCCTTTGTGCCCTAAGTACATATGTAAGTAATAAAACATTCTTCGAGAATAATATAATACCTGTGCCTACTCCAATCAGATCACAACTACATGTATATGTACACCGGGGACTCATGATCAAGGCACGGTGCCGGCCGGCCAGGCTGCGCTGAGACAGGGGAGATGGCAGTATCAAGTAGTGGGGAGCTGCAATTGCGGCGGCGGCGATGGTGGCTTAAGTGGCCATGATCGTGGTTGAGTTGAGTTTCTGATCCCTATATCCAGAGAGTAAATATGTTGACTCAGGAAGGGCCTGAGGTTCTCCCCAAAGTGATCTAACCATCTCACACCTAAATTTGTCGTTACCACCAACCCCACCTCCACATTTTCCAAACCAAACTCAATTAAATTTGGGCTACACCTACCTCATTGCGCCTGTGGCACTCCCGAACCAAAACGACAAATCCCCCAAACCCATTTCCCTTTCCCCCCAGCAGCAGTTTCCCAGCCAGCCAGTTACAGTTAGTTGCACACAAAGAAAAAAACCCGAGCGGAGCGGGGGTTTTGACTCAGTCGCACAAGCACATAAAAAACAAATCAAAAATAACAAAAGCCACCACCCAGCGAGTGATGGCCCGTGAAGCCAGATTCTCGGGTAAAAGGCTCTATGTACAACTACACACCTACACAGGGTATTAACCCCAACCCACATCACAGCCAGATAGCGGCCCTTCCACTGCTTCGTGCAGCAAGCAGCTTGACGCTTTCTTGCTTTACCTTTCAGCCATCAGCCATCGATATCCATCCATCCACACACACACACCCCACAGCTGCCCACGTCCCCCATCCCATCCAGCTGGTCTCGCCAAGCCACTCAGTCAGAGTATTGCTTTTTTCCCTACCTAGCATCCATCCTACTCTACTCTAGCTCCCTGAGTGAGTCCTACCCAACCCAAAAACCCAGCCCATCCTTCCCCAAGCCCGTGGGTTCATCCCACCTCACACCTCCTCAAACACACTTCGTAGGAAAAAAAAATTTCTAGCAAAAGAGATCGATCGATCGCTCGCGATGCCCTCTGACACCGGGAGTCTGGTTCGAGGGTTGAGGGTAGGTGTGGGGAAAAGGTGGTCATGGCCCTCTCCCCCTTCCCCCTCCGCCCTCCACATCCATCGCGAGGGATGGATGTAGGTACGGAGTAGAATGCAGGTTCTTACTGTACTCTACTCTACGAAGGGGGAGATCGGGAGGCGCGGTGCGCGGGCGCGGTGGGCGGATCGAAACGTGATGCCGATAGCCACCCACCCACCTATCCAGCGTCACTACTCTACGACGACGTTGTCGTCGACAACGACAGCAGATGATCATGATGAAGCAGCAGAGGCAGCTACAGTTACAATAGTAATGGGGAATATGGGGGTGGGTGCCTGGTGATTGCTGTGCTGTACAGACCGGTTCGGAATCAATGACAGACGTACCTACTGTACACGTCAAGCTCCGTTCTGGAAGGTGGAGAAGCTTAGAAGACCTCAGCTGCACAAGGCGGAAAACAGGCTGACAGCAACGACAACACCTCCAATTGATTTGGTCGCGATATAATTATGGGTTGTGAAAAAAAGCTATGTAGACTGACTAACGTAGACTACTACATGTAGCTTTAGAAGCTAGTTAATAAATAATTCGTGGTCGACCCCTGTAACTGTAGCATGATAGGATCAGAATACTAATCGATCGCAGGCAGCAACAATGGGACGAACCCATCTGATCATGTTCATGACGGAGCTAGCTAGGGCGGAGATTAAGATATGTGAGAGAGCTCTAGGAGCTCTCAAGAAGGAGGAAGAAAAATAGAGGGATGGGCCGCCGCGTAAACAGCTAGATCCTCCGATGGTCTTCTGTACTGTATGTATATCAAAAAAAGAGAGAGAGAGAGAGAGTACTAGAGTAGACGTAGCAGTATCGAAAACCAAAACCCTCCTCCTCACAACCACCACCACCATGACGACGACGACGACAACAACCACCCCGAATACAGACAGAAGAAGACCATTTTTTCCAACTAAAGGAAGTAGTAAGAGTACTTGGATAGTAGCAAATAAACAAAACAAATCAAAAAATCAAAAAAATCAGACCAGCCAACCCACCCACACGCACACACGCACACACACACATAGCCAACTACCAGCCTTCTTTACGTTTATGAGCGGTCAAAAAAAAGAGGTTGTAAAAAACGAAAGACAGCCAGCCAGATAGACAGCCAGCCTAGCCAAAAATAAAAAAATAAAAATAAAAAAAAGATTATAAAAAAAAGATTCATAGATAGCTGCAAAAAATCAACATAGCCAACCAAACCCAAACGACAAAGAAAACCCCTCCGGTGTCCCGCTTCCCGGGCCACCCCTTAGGCCTCCCAAGCAAATACTGAACCACCCTGATAGCGCGCGCGAAAACAGAAAACAGAACAAAAGTGCCCCCCTGCCCTCCCTAGAAGAATAGTAAAGAAAAAGAGGAAGAAAGATGGAATAAGTAGTGAATAGTAGTAAATAGTAAGAGTAGTAGTAGTAGTGAATAATAATAGTAGTAGTAGTGGTAGTAGTAGTAGCAGTGGTAGTAGTAGTAATAGTAAAAATCAGACAAAAAAAGAGAAAGCCTCCCGGTACGTAGAATACAATAATTCTAGTGCTCGAAACCGCCGAAACCTCCTATCTTCGTACAGCGCCTTACCCTCCCCGAATTCGTAACATGTTTCCGCCCCCAGATCGCAATCCGAATATTCGCATAAACATATCCGACGTTGTTTTATCCTGTTTGTATTTTTTTAATGATCAATTGAGGTGAGGTTTCAGCGAGATATAACTCTAAACCGTCGTCTCCCTCACCTCATCTCACCCCGTTATACCACTACTCTTCCTCCTCCTCTTCTTCCTCCTCTTCCTCCTCTTCCTCCTCCTCCTGCTGCTCACTCTCCTTCTCCTCCGCCTTCACCTTCTCCCCCGCCTTGCTTTCCTCCTTCTCACCCTCCTCCCCCTGTGCCAACTGCTTCCTCTTCCATTCCCTCTCATGCGCCTTCCTCATCTCCGCCTCCGCCTTTGTCGGCCTCCCTCTGCGCCTCTTGACCTGTCCGTCGGGGCCCACCACCAGCGGGCTCGCCGTCTTCGGTACATACGGCTTCGGCTTCGGGAGGATCTCTCCGCGGGCCTCTGCGGCGCGGCGCGCCTCCGTCTCCGCCTTTGTCGGCCTGCCGCGCTTGCGCTTCGTCACTGGTGTCTCCAGCGCGCCGCTCGACGACTGGGCCTCTGCGGCGGCGTCCGAGGTTTCATCTTCGCGCTGGCGCTTCCTGTTGCTGCTGGGCGAGGACACGGGGAGGACCGTGGTGGTCGTGGGGGTGTCGCTGCTGGCAGTGGTGGTGGTCGTAGTCGTGGGTGCGGGCGGGGCGCGCAACTTCATGGTGGTGAAGAGATGTTGGGCTTGGGCTTTTGTGCGGCCTGGACTCAGGGGGTGTGTGTGGTTAGCGGTGGTGGTGAGGGAGAGATGAGGGGGGGTGGCAATGGGTAGGTATGCGTGCGTGTGTGGGGACGGTGCTAGAGGGGACTGCTAATGATCTAGGGAATGGTATTGAGGATATGTGTCTGGCGGGCATGAAGACAAAAAATTGCAATTTATGTCTACATGCCCGCTCTATCAGACTCGGGAGATTGGGGAATTAACAGCTCCCTCCCCCTGGCTTGCCCGCTCCGGCCGGGGTCCTGGTCGTGATCCTTCCCCGAGTCCGGATATGAGGGTTTCGGGCCCGGGGATAAGGAGGACGAACGCATCAGGATGTACCATAGCCCCATGCCGCAACACAATACAAAAGCAGGATCATAGATCCAAGGCAATGGCGTAGAATCGCCGTATGCATGTGTGTATATATATATAATATATATATAGTTGTGAAAACAAAGACGAATTCGAAGAAGAGGCGGTTTTGCGAAAGCAATTGCAACGAAAAGAAAAAAGAGACTTCGGGAGTGAGAGGGCTACAGACCTACAGGAATGTTGATAGCTCTCCAATTAGGATCTTGGTTGACCTGATTCGCAATCTCCAAGAGAAGTTGGATCTACGTTCCAGAGAAAAGACGAAGAAAAAGCATCAGTTGTCAGCACACACGTTTTTTCTCTCTCTTCGATCACCCTTCCCCTTCCCCTCCCTCTACCATCCCACACGCAGCAGAATGGAGATTGATCATAGGGCAGTATGATAGATGCAAAAAAACAAGGAAAAAAAATCAGGATCTGGGATATATAGATAGGGCAGATCTGGGATATTCAGGCATACCTTCTCTGCGTCACTCCAAGGAGGCAAGGCCTTGTTGTGAGCCATCAAACTTCTGATTTAGGTTGCTGGGGAAAGTGAGGGAAAGATTGTTTCGGCGAAACAGGATGCGAGCTGCTGCTGCTACTTTTCTGGAGAGAGGGGATCTAAGCAATTGCTGCAAATATCTATTGAATAGCAAGATATTGGCAAATGAATTCAAGATCGCAGAAAACGAAGAGGCGTGAGGAGATATGTGTATGGAGGTACACTCTGTCCTATACAACTACTATTGCAGTATACGTATTGGAAAAAAAGGGTTCGAAGGGTTAATGGTGAGAAAGAGAAAGAAAAGGATTAAGAAAAAAAAAATGGAAGAAAGGGAAAAGAGAGAAAAAAAGAGAAAAAAAAAATAAAAAAAAAGGCAAAAAGAAAAAGAGAAAAAAAAAAAGGAAAAAAGCAAATTCTAAAAGAGGGTAGGTAAGAAGGGATTAAGAAAAAAAAAAAAAAATAGGACACACGGGAGGAGGGGTGGGTAGTAGGCAGGCAATCGACGGCGGATTTGTTGTCCAGCGCAAAGTTCAGCGCAAAAGAACGAAAACGGAGAGAAACCTGGAGATAGAAAGGAAAGGACAAAAAAAAGCAAATGAAGGAAAAGGGAAAAAAATTACCTATGTAGACCCAGTCTGACTGACTACCTGATAATATAGTGTAACTACACAGGATCTCTGGGTCCTTCCTAGATAAAAGAGTACGAGGAAGATCAAAAGAAAAGAATCCAAGAAAAGAAAGGAAAATTAGAAAACAAGTGAATTTAATAACTACATACATACAAGCTAGAAAGAGTCGAGAAGAGGAAAGAACGAGAGAAGAAAAAAAATAAAATAAAAAATAAAAATAAAAAAACGAGAAACGCAGGCGCTCACGTACGGTTTCCGTGAAATGAAATCCAAAGAATCCCTGCACGATTGCGAGGGTCGGGCGCAGGTGCAGAGACGAGCGACTCGCCTAGCTACGATCCCTCCCCCCTCGCTCTTTGCGCGTCTGTTGTCGGTCACCACCCCTTCCTCACGTTATTTTGCGTGGAGGTAATGTCCTAGGGCTGGCCTTTGCGCGAAAAGACGTGACTTGGATGCAACGTCGTGTCGTGTCGTGTTACTCTACAAGCCTCTCCCTGCCCCATACGCAGCACACCCTACCACTGACCAGTGTATGTACCAGCTCTTCCTACAGTTACCTACCCTTCCCACTACTGCCTGCTGCATCTCAACCCATACCCACACATATCCCTCCCCCCATATCTATCGTGATCATGTAGGTACCTACATACTGTGCACTGCTTGCCTGCTGCACTGTACCCCATCCCATCCCCCCGCGTATGTAGCGATAACGAATTAATTACTTTATTCGACTTCAATTCATGGGCTCCGTTGCCGAACACGTTTCTTTAATTCGATTCCCTTCGGACGGGAACGAACGAGATTCACTCTTGACCACTAACAGACGAAAACAGCTAACTTTTCCCACTGCCAGTCTCGGGAAGGATGATGGGCTTGCTAGGGATGAGGAAGTGAGAAAAATAAAAAAAATAAAAAAAAATAAAAAAAAAAAATAAAGGAAGGAAAAATAAAAGAATTATCATAAAGGAGGGTAGAAAATTTACCTATTAACCATCCTAGGCCTAGCTCAAGTCCTCAATTGAACAATTGCAACCTTCCTAAAGAACAAGCCCATCCAATTTCGTACTGCCAACAAGAATGAAATTCGAAATCTACCTTCAGCTCTAGGAATGTATTGCCCAGTGCCCACCTAACTCGCCCACGGCCAACCTACCAACTCCTATCAATGAGATACGTAACCCCACCTAGGTGTTCATACGTAAACGTACCTGAGGCCGGGGGGTCCTGTATCACGGTGCCAGCTTTCAATGTGATGTAGGTATACAGGTAGGTACTTTATTTCAAATAAAATAAAAAATAAAATAAATGGTTAATTCCAAACCGGTTTTCACAAGTACATTTAGTACGTACCAACTCTTTCCTCCGCCTTCAGTTAAGCTCCATCTCTTGCTTTTTCCACCCGTGTTGCTTGACATACCCTCAATTCGGCACCCCATATGCAATGTTTTTATCTGACTCTTCGAGGATCGAATCCGAATGCGCTGTCTGTACAAGTCAGTGAAATAGAGTACTCTACTCCAGAGCACCTGTCTACATACATATACATCACAATCAAAGTAGGTACCTACATGATCACATACCAGCTCCCCCTCCACGCTTTCGTGCACTGCCGCCGCACCTCACCCGTCCGTCCGTCCCAAGATCCGCCCACCCCTTCTCCATAAAGTTTCCCCGTTCCATCTCTCAGCTCCGGGAGCTTATCGATTCGATCATGTCAAAATCCGCTCCCTTCCCGGATCATTCCTTCATCTAACTAAGCTACAGCCTGAAACTCCACACCACACTGTCGGGAAAGTCTCGTGTCGCACGCAACATTTTTCTTTCTTTGATACGAAACCTTTGGTTGTTTGGCACTGATTTCTCGTCTTGTCACCGATAAGGGAGATTGAATAAATTGAAAACGCCTCACATGCATCTCTCGAAAGAGAAACCACTCTCTGAGTAATAACTAAATTAATCACAAGAGTCGGAGGAAGGATGGGAAGGATGGCTGGAAGAAGAATAATAAGAAATTCCATCCATGTAGCAACGCGCTTCCATGTGACGTGATCACATCTAGGAGGGTCACTCAGATTGTATAAAAGAACGGCGATGACCGAATTCGAGAAGGAGTGAGAGAGATTTACCGGGAGTGGCATGGCTGTATGCTTCTTTTGGTACATCCCCCCCCCCCCCCCCCCCAAACCTATTCTTCTCTTCCGCACTGAACCCAGCTGTACGGTACCTGATGAACACCCGAATGCAGCCGATTCTAATCTGGAAGTAACGCGCTTGTCCCACGAATTATGGACCAGGGAGTTAACTTTACTGCAATATAACTTAAATTGACAATTAAGAGACCGTACTGATGAAAACTCCGAAAGGGTTAGGTGAATTATAGAACTGACTTGTCTTTTATTAACCACCCCCTTCCCCTGGCCCCCAGGTGCGGGAGAAGAGTTGAATCAGTGATCTCCTAGCTTCTAGTCCCCGCCGCCGGCACAAGGTTGCCCAACGTTCGCGACTTCAAGCAATAAAGGCTATATGGCAATTTGCGTTATATCAATCACAATCACATGGTAAATTATAAAGGATTTATTACCAGGCGAAATTAGCAACTTACACATATAGCCCTAGCTCAAGGCCCATAGTCTTCTCTACCACTTGCGGCGATGGGTGTGGGAATCTCATTGTCAAAACTCAGACATTTCACCCAGCGCACGCACTGATCAGAGCCTGGAGGGAGGGGGAGATTACAAAATGAGAGAGCTGGAGGGACACGTTGTATGTAGGTAGGTTGCGTTGTAGAGACAACGCATTTCTTTACACATCTAGAACCGTAGTCAACGTGCACGTGTAACATATAGATGCTTGTGCAGCTCTGGGACAATTATCTTCGGAATTTGGGGGGACGTTCATGCCTTTCACAATGAAAATGGGACCTGAATACGGATTTAGTTATAACAGAAGGTAAGTATAATATTCGAATAAAGTCGTGGCTGCCTATATCTGCGTGCAGTGAATTAGTGATGACGAGGTGTATCCTCCAAAATCTCCTGATTAAGTACGAGTCTACCAGCAGATATTAAGGCGCCTATGTAGACCAAATGTACATACATCGCGCTTTAAGCGAATATAACTGCTATGCTTAGCCGTCGCAAGAGAGAGAAAGAGGGTGCAAATATTGATCATTGCCGTCCAGATGAGAGCTGCGGAGGCTTATCGCCCACCGCTTAGCAGGGATTTAGGTCTTCCCTGCTCATGATGAATGAACAACAAATAGTGCAGCATTTACCAAGCTGAGAGCCAGAAATACACCGGGTAAATAGTCCTCTAAAGATACTTAAGTGATGAAATCATCACTTGGACTGTTGAAGCGGTAATGATCTCATCGAGTGATCGCTGGTGATTTTGCGCAGTTCAGCAGTTAAACCAGTTGATAGGGATTATTAACACGCTAGTCTTCAAAGAAGTATAACAGCTTTGAATTAACTGTGGTGTTCCTCCCTTGTTTTGCCGATATCAGAACACCTGGTGCACGCGCTTTCCCCCACCAGCAGTCGGACATCTACCCGAGCGGAGAGAAGGAATCACATTTCATATTCCCCATGAGTACCGGCTCAGACTTGTATTCTTAGAGCTGTACACGAAGGAAGACCAGCTACTTGCGGAATTTTGGATCGATTTGTAGGAGATAGTGTAGAGATCACCATATTATTGTGATCTGCCATGTTCATTTATAATGGCATTGGTCAGATAGTTGATATTCCAGTTTCACGGGGTGTCCCAGACATAGCTGGACGTTGACGGTTGAAATCACGGGACACAAATAACCTGCGTGTCTTGCAGGTGTGCATGGGCCATACATGAACCCAATAGGATCTGTTGCCAGTGGTACGCCAATCGGTTAAGTATCTCGTTTTCTCCATTTCTTGGCGTTTGACAGTGTCCAATCATTTGGGTATCACAGGCTCCCCAAAACAACGCTGTTTGCCCATATGGGCCAACAGTTTCTTAATCTGCCACCGCATCAAGTAGCAAATGCTTTAGACGCGGCTATCGTGGGATCTCGCTCTAAAAATATCTGGTGTTTGAGAAATCGGTTTTTATGCCAGTCCGGGCCAAAGCATGGATCATCACTCGCTTGAGTTATGTCACGTGATGTCACTTTGAGGAGGTTCTCCAACCGAGTTTATTTCTGCTAGTGACATCTCGATTAACATGTTAAGATTACTGTGCCAAACGAAATGAATGGGCGCTCCTTACCATCTGTAAACATGCGCATCGGTAAGATGCTATCCACATGCTAATTCAGAGCATCGTATGTATGCAGGGCATATTCTTTCAAGAATTTGCGAATTCCACCCGAACTGGATAAGTGGTTCCTCGGAGGATTGGCTTTGGTACTAGCCCGTACTCGTACAATCAATGCGTACTTCCGTGAGTCACGAAAGTTAGATGTCCTGTTCCTCCTGTTGGTTATCGATGAGACCAGGATAGCCAATTGTTTCTGTAAACGAGTAATATGATAAAAACGGGGGGAATGCAATACTGTACGATGGCGACGTGCAGCGATGGCGTAGTGAGTATGAGGGGCGATGGCCGTTGTACTGGCAACGACTGGCAATAATGTTTCTAGTAGCAAGTGCTTAGAGTACCATGCGCCAGTTTGACTGGCTTCATCAAAGATATCACTAGTTCCCATTGGTATTATATTAGTAACATAATGAATCTGATCCCTAGTACGTATGTCTTGTAGTTTTTGGTTGAACCCGAGATTTTGTGTCCAGGGTGATGGCCTGCATGATCAATAACTGAAAGCTGAGAGTGTCAACTAGCATAGTTTCAGATAAATCCATGTTTACCACTTGACGATGATGAGTGTAAAGGGGATTTTGTTTGCGATATCGAACAGACTTGAAGTTATTCAGGGGATGGGAGCGGGGATCGTAACTGAGGTTGAACGCTACCGATGACGTTTCTAAAGTCACATGTGCAGGCCCCCGTCTTGACCATAGTTTTTTTGATCCCACGGCATCATAGGTATACTACATGTAGTCTCGTACCCATCTCCTACTAGGAGGGTTGGGTACGAGCCTATACGTATACGTATACCCATATACACATAAACATTGCTTAGATAATTAGGGTAAACATTATTATAAGCCATCTAGCCGTGCGTTGGCCTTGGGACTCTAATATAGCGCTTTTCAAACCACGGCGATAATCAGAATATCATTACATGCAATATTCTCCAACACACTTAAGAGAAAAAGAAAAATAAACTAAATTGCTGAGGCATCTGTGAGAGCTGTTTGAGGTTGTGGTCCCTGCATGATAATTATGCTATTCATGGATCATGTGTATACATGTAGATAGCCAATCGTTGGCATAGTACCAAGCCTTAGGATGGATCACGCAGCTTACTTGTTCTTGACAGCTAGCTATTAAATTAAATATGTGTAGTGACATCAACAGCAGAGTCAAACAAATATCCTCGTTCTAATCTCCCAAGGTTAAATTTCAATACAGACACCGTAGGGTGTCTTAAAGAGAAAATGCATATGTGACTCGGTGTCAGGAAGATACTTATATATGGCATGTATCGGGGGCTGGTAAAATTTGAGTGTTCTAATCTGATGTCTGATAACTACATATTAACACATGTACTTCACATATATATTAGGTACTTCGTAAGTAAACAAACCTTGATCAGGTCATGTTCTAATAACATACATGTATCAGCTACTATTCGCCCTGCAACCATATGCATACCAATCCGTTGTATCTAAGCTACATGTATGTACATGTAGTTAGTGCATAAATCGGTAGCCCTATCAGTGCAATGCATATGTTACCATCGTGGCCCCTCTGATTGCTCCTCGAATGATGAGCAACTTTACCTACCTTGACAAAGCATCGATGCCGACCTTTCCGTACGTGGTACTTGATCGATGGTTCACATGCGTTGTGGTACCGCCATCACGGATCTAGTGTCCAATTGGTAGCTATCTTTCGTTGATCTACCCCTTAGAATCCCCTGACAAATGTTGCCCAAGGCCACTGGGTCCATGAAAAAGTTGACAGTATCATACTTGTCGCCAACTTATTCGTTTATGTGAGGCCTGTGCACCGGGGTTCTCCGAAAATCTACATAACCTTGAGACCTATCCAAACCTTCCTCCCGTGAAAAACCGTACCAGTAACTAAACTCCAGAGTTGAAGCCGAATCATATTAATTCCAAGTCTTTCAACCTCATAGAGATCAGTGATCATGATCTCGTCAAACAGGGGCCGGAATCCAACCTAGTGAATGGAGAAATAGTGATATGGGAGCATAGGATTATAATAGAAACGCCGGATACTAATGTATAGCTTAATACTCTATTGGAACAAATCCTGCTTCAGACTATGCGCCGATATACGTATGTACTTCCTTGGGTGAATTAATACTACCAGAAAGTCTAATTAACTAATATAATACTATGTAGCTATATATATACGTAGTTAAATTCTATTCTAGCGATAATATATTCCTAGTCATTAATTAGAAACTAGATCTAAGATACTGCTCGTTATTTGTGGTTAGGTTCGAAGACTATCAAACGTATGGGATTCTATCATGGATAGGTACTGTAAGCTGAATGCTACTTAATTAGTAGTCATTGTCAATAATTTTTATTATGTAGCAAGTCCTAATACTAGTCTTGCATGTACCTATAGAATAAACACTCGGCCTCAGTCAAAGTTTATATTCACGCAAAATGAAAAAAAAAAAAAAAAAAAAAGGATTTGAAATCGAACGTAAAGCTGACAGGTCGCAAAAGGGTGCGTGAGACATGCATTAATCTTAAATTCCGACGATTATGAGGCCCTGTAAGAGATATATATCTCAATGGTATAACGTAGATTGATTCGAAGTTCGAATGTTCTGCAGCTGGGCATTCAGCCGCAATTACTCTTACGAAACGCCCTGGCTCCTGGCTGTTTGTGAATTAGGATTTCAAATTCTTGAAGTTAATATTTGTACTCAGTTAACTAAGTGCGCGCTTCTTGCCTCAAGAAGAATAACCATTTGATTCCTCATGGTTATTGGATTCACAATCTATCACTCGGTTGTGGAAACTCCAGTCATGTGAGCAGAAAATGTGGTGTGAGAATTGGTGTTTCTATAGTTTATCTGACCTAAATTTCAAAGCATATCAAACGCATCTGAAGACCTGAAAATGTTCGCTGGATCGGAAACGGGTACTAGCCTGGTCCGGAGTGGTTATTTAAGTGAGATTGTACCCACCGGGATTTCCCGATAGTGCGAATACGTTCGTGCAGAGCGAGCATACACGATACCCCATCTAATTTCGACCTGTACAGCCAACGCGGCGCAAAGCTGTGATAAAGAGATTCAGAATCGAGGCTGTCAGTTATCAGCATACAAACGTCGTGCAGTCGGGATTCTACGAAACAGTCGGGATGGAAATACAGGCTAACGATTAAACCCCACAACCCGTTCACTGCTCACTACGTGACACTGGGGGCGTTATCGACCAACCATCCTATCAACATCGATCTTATCAATTCTACCCTATCACCGTCACCTTGTCAATCCCATATTATCTTATCAAACCTCATCCACTGGCACTTTGGGTAAGATCGGCTTAAGCCAAAAGCCGTCAAGACCGCCTATTCGAAGCGACGATAGAATCGGTCAGTTACGGATGGAATCACATCCTGAACCAAACACCATGGTAAGTGAGAGAGCTATGCGTATGTGCGATATTGTGAACCCTATTTTTATACTCTACCTGAAAGCTAACGGGTTTTCTATAGTCGGTTATCACTTTGCATGGCTGTCGATCTTCGTACAAGTCTAACCATGCACGCAGAGAAATTAAAAACAATCATGCAAGGCTACCAGTTGCAATGAGGCGGCCCAAAAACTAGAGCCATGTCTTTCGACCACAACTCTTTCAGTATGTCCAGTACCAGTACTTTCTAGAATGTTCTATTGATTTAGACCACTCTGGAGAAATAGCGATTTACCATTCCACACGGATACATCATTTGACTGATTGATTCGTTGGGCATGGACACATCATTTTTGAAGAATATCACTCATGGGAAGTACTGCCATTTTGAATTGATTAGATAGGAACATCACATCTGTCGCTACTATCTGCTTCGGAGATATCCGGAGCTCAAGCAGTTACTACTGAGAAACGAGGCATTAAACGAGTTCCGATATCATGCTTACAATTCTATCTAGTAAACCTGATGGCAATTCGACAAATTTGATAAGATCATAATTCTTTGGCAGATTTATCTTCAAAGGCTACCTTATGGTCCTTCGTGGAATGCGCCATTGGCGACCCATCGGATATCCATCACCAAGATACCAATTAACTACCTCTATGATGATTCCCAAACCTCCCGATGTATCCCCTAGTACTTATGGACGGTATTAATGTCCGAGGTGATTTTTGATCAGATCCAGACCCTACGAGAGATTACTCACTGGCCGGCGTGGCTTGGTTGATCATTGACACCATGAGTCAGGTGAAACATTGCGTTCGGCCCTTAAGGCATTTCTGCCTACTTGGTCCAGATAGGTAATTATAAGAATCTTGAATCACCCCACAATTCGCGACCGATAAGATCATCCCTTAGATCTGCTTTCCCGCCAAACCGTTAACATAAAGTGTCATAAACCGGGGCAGACCGGCTGTACAAACAGCCCATTTTCCAGGATCATGTGACACTGTCGTTCACAGAGTTCATTGCGAAGCATGCAATGGGGACGAAAGCCTAAAGTTTCCCCTGAAGATAAAACAACCGCCCTTGGAAACATGTCGCACCTAATCCGGTAGAACGGATTTTTTTCAAGGTGTGGAATTTAGTTACTTTACACGTGACGTAACTCATAAAGAAAAAATCGTTGACAGGGGCTAGTACTAGTCGTTAGATGGTTAGGAGCGAACTTCAACGTCAGTCACGATGCCTACTGTGGGGTACATCTCAAAACGCCCACAAAAGCCTTGGTTAGCCCGGTTCAAACGGAATTTTCAAACAGGTTCGGACTCCCACGAACCCCGGACCGGAACAGGGTCCAGTCCAGAGTTTCAAGCTTACACATGGCCAATTGATGACGTTTTGCTTTGAACAAACGGCATAACTTTGACGCCGGAACAAGAAACTCCGCCCCCACAAAACCAGGGCTTTCTTTGACCCATAAATTTCGGGGAAAGCTTAATTATTGCGCGATAGCTGGTACTTCCGCGCTTGGCGTAGTAATCACAATTACCAATCGAAACATCATAACAGAGCAATTCCACAGACCAGGTATTGTCCTTAATATTTCTCTTCCCACAAACCGGTATTTTGGTCAAGCGAGAAACGATAAAACCTTGCGTAGTGTAACTTCGATCATGAGATATCACTCGTATCATATTCATATCCGGAACTGTACTTTGGTAACCGTGATGGCCGAAACACACAAACGCCTTAATTCAAAAACGGTTACATGATAAATGGTGTTTCTGAGGATCTAGCGGTTTGCCACCTAAGGATCCTGGCTATATTCCAACTATTTATATTCTCTCCAACTCTGTTTCTCTAACCCCCTTGCACAAACGCAGTATATTAATAAATTATTATGTGCATGCAGTAGCTTAGCCCTACTGCAACTCACTACTAGACGCAGGAATAGGCTAGATCGATATAGATGACACCATGATACCACATTTGCAAAACGGATGAGGTTGATTATTGAAACGTTAACCGGCATAACCTGAACAAAGTGTTTACTAATTGCCTTGTACGTTGATGTAAACGCCGAGTCATTACGTCAGGAAATATTTTCACACCTACAAATACTTGACACCGGGTGATTGTTCATGACTGAAAGAAAACACAGGCGCGCGTGCACAGGCGTTTAGCCAGTAGTAAGTTGCACCCGCTTTTGCACCCGGTACCACATGTGCTCATCATTACCCACGCTGCACACCACACCCGCGATCACGGAGGAGATCTCGAGCAGAATTAATACATAACTTGGAAAAAAAGAATAAACCAGAGTAGAGTAAGTAGACAGAGCAGCATACCTACCTACCGCGTACCGGTAGGTATGCAATATACAGCATGCTTAATTACTGGCCTCGTCCTTACCCGCGAGGCAGATCTTTCAGCTTCCGATAGGACAGGGCCCAAGGCCGGGCAATATGAATCTCACCCTGCCTGCCTGTGCTGCGCAGCGCAGCCTGCCTATCCTAATTCCGGCAGATAGATTTTCTCGACATCATGTAGAGTAGGCCTACCTTGCCTTGTAAGAACCTACCATACATACATTGCTTACATTAAGCGGGGGAATAGGCAAAAAAGGCTTGATTTTTTTACTCTCCCTGCGTGGTTTGCTGAAGGTTTCAGTAGATGACAGGTGTACGATACTCTACCTACTTTCTAGGAAATTCCGCTCGGGGGCGGGACCTGACGCGGAAATATTGAAATGGATCGATTCGTTGTGCTGGCCATATCTTGAGCAGATCAGAGTGCTACTGTTACAGAGTAGTTACAGTGCACACGGTACAGGATGGTATTGAAATTTGACTACATTAGTTGGGAGCAGTACTACTTAGTTCCACTCTACTCTACTGGTGGTGGTGGATGGGCTAGCTGGGCGTATTTATTAGCAAGGGAGACAGACAGGCGCGCTACTATTTCTGCTCGCTGGCTGGCTGGCTGGTACGACAAGTGTGATTAAATCTTTTTTTTCTTTTCAAAAAAAGAGTAGATGACCGGATCACCTGCACCAATGAAACACTAGGAGTCGTAGATTATCCCATCATTGAAATTTAAATGCTGCCTTACTAAGCCAGATGTGTAAATCGGGAATTTAGCGATAGGTACAGTGCCACGCTTCCACACTGCAAACGCGTGGCACAGCCCACGCACCCAAAGTGCTACATGGAAGGGTACCGATACTATCCATACGCACGCTCCACTGCCGAAGAGAAGGTAAAAAAATTAGATCCAGGCTGTCACCTCGTCGAATCCGTTCTCGACAACACGGTGTGCGTCCTTGTCCTCGAGGTTCAAGGGTGCGTTGCCGGGACGAACAATGATTGCTGCGTCCATTCCGGCCTGTTTTGCCGCTGCGACTTCTGGAAAGATGCACGTTGATGTTAGTAGGGGGAATGGAGGTGAGGTGATGAATGAGAAGCTTTGGGGATCGGGGCGGAAATGTGCCTCGTTGCGGGTAGTATTTCCTTTTGAACTGGGCGGGATGAGGATGGGGGGTAGGGGAGGGGATGCGCGAGATGAGATGAAAAGCGTGAGTGTAGGTAGAAGGACGGCGATAGGATAGATGCAGCGTGAGAGAAAGATCAGAGTTTTTTTTGGGGGGGGAGGGATGTAGAGGTGGTGGTCGTGGTGGTAGTGGTAGTGGTGGGGTTAGTGTAAGCTTAAGTGCATGATCATGGTATTGGGACTAGGATTGATGATTGATTGGGGGAAAGGAAAATATTGGCAACAAACCCTTGACGTTGTCGCTAAGGAAGAGCCAAGAGGCCGCATCGATGCCGGTCTTTTCGGCAATGATCTTGTAGGAGGCGGCTTCTGTCTTCGGGCCGGCGCTCACGGTGTCGAAGTAGCCCGAGAAGTACTTGGTCATGTCGCTGACTTCGGCATCGGTGTGCTGGAAGAGGAGCTTCTGGGCTGAATGATGACAGTGATGATGTGAGCTTTGATTCCCACCATTGTTTATTTTCATTGATTGCGGAATCATCTCCGGACCCTTGGGAGTATTCCTTGTACATCCTCCATGGATGTAAAGTAGGTAGGCAAGCATTCTTACTCTACCTACTCTCTACCAGTCCACTCTAGAGCGCCCACATTGCTGGTCACGTAGCGCAGGTAGATAGCCGGAAAGAAGCATCAACCCCGACAAAGATGAACGACGCTTGTCGTCCACTTAAGGGTTGTGTTCCTCGGGTTCTCGCCGAGAAGAGGGGAAATAGAACAGGACAGGGTATGTAGGTATCAGAAGGGTACGTAGAAAAGAAAGAAGGGTATGTAGAAGGATACAACAACAGAGCAAGCACTAGCTAGGTATGTCTTACCGGCGACGGATCCGGACGAATATATGTCGACCGTCAGTCCGAGCTCTTCGGACCAGTGCTTTATCGCTGGAAAGACATCTGGGTAGATTGGTGCTTGGTAGGCTCCATCACGATAGCCAGACTGCCAGATAAGTCCTAAAGATAAAGTAGATTAGTTAGTTTATTAATTGTCGGTCACACACATTATTTCAGTTTTGTTTCGTGCAGATTGTTTATCACCCCTCCCTTATCGGAGTTTATCAAACAAGATAGATCTCCATGTGCCCAATCCAACACAAGGACCCAAAGATGAGTACTGATGGATAAGGAAGAGGAGACATTGCTGGGCGGGCACAGAGTGAAGGTGCACAAACTTTAGGTGTAAATGAAAGAGAGTGATGACGTGGGATTGCAGGCATTGGAATTGACTTTCGGGCCGGTGAATTTGGCAGAATGGAAAATGGATAAGCAGTGTAAAGGGATGAGGAAGGGAATGACAATGAAATCATAAACAATAAATTCATAAACTCAACAGTGGTTGCATGGACAACATGCAAACAAAGAAAGGAGAGGGAAAGCCACGAGAAGAAAAAAAAAAAAAAGGGAAGAAAAATTCTCATGTCTCAAAGGGGTAGGTAGGTAGGAGTAGGAATGAGGACGTAAAGGATGAGTGATTCAATCATCTCATTCTTCTGGCGAGGATGAATTTCCCGATGACATGATATGTCACGCAACTAATGGAATGCTTTTCTGCCCTCTGCCTGCCTGTCCTGTCGTGCCTACCCCTTCACTGTACATACTGTCGGAACGCGTAGACGAGACAATTAACGGGAACCCAAGCGCTCGCTTCCGTTTCGGAACGTCTTTTTTTTTTCTTTGCGGGGAACGGGAGTGCATGAGAAGTCCTTTCCCGGGCGAGTGAAACGAAAGAGAGCTCGAGATCAACTTCCTCAATAGGAAAACAGCACAGCTCTCGGATTGTGGCATGCCAAAGTGCCAAAATCCCATTCACGTTAAATGAAATGGGATCGTGTCGAAAGCAACACGAAATAGAAGCTTATGAAAACGAAGCCCCGAGCTCTGAAATGAAGAAATGGTGGAAATGGAAATGAAAAAGAAATTAAATGTAAAGCAAGACAGGACAACAGGACAACAAGACAACGACGTCGTCGTCGTCGTAAGAAATGTGGATTACTGACCTTGCAGCTGCTTCAAACAACTCACTTTGATGTCCTTCTCAGAGACTTCTCGAACGTAACTCATCAGCTGTTCCGGAGAATCCCTTACGTCCTCAGGAAAGGCATCGCGGTAAGGTCTGAAGGATGGACTATCCCACTCGGACCGGATATATCCCGGGAGAGCAGCAATGGCATACGGGAACTGCCCCAGCCGACATCCCCAACAGACAACTCGTCAGCAAATCTCGTGGTGGAAATTATTTGGAGACGATCACCGTTTCGTAAAGAATAAACGTAGTTGATCAGAATAGTGAAGGGGGGTGCCCATGGCTCATGACGATCAAACGCCCTCAGTTGCAATTAGGTCCGTTGTAAATTGACCTGCCATCACCGCGCATCTTATTTCCACCACGATTTCCCAAGTAATGGAATTATTTGCCGATCTCGAAGAGAAGAGCCAAGACACCCCAATAACCTTCGTGGGAATAAAGCAAAAAAAATGCTTAGCATGTCCAACTTACAAGAACATCACGAACGAAGCTGATCGAGCACACCTGTTTTGTCACGTAAGAACGCAGCCCATGGAAAGCATCACGAGCACGCGTAGCTTAAGGTTAGCCAATGGAACTTGAAGTGCATGGTACTTCTTCTAGGAAGGTACTCCATGTTTATACTTTGCTTTTTTTGTGTTCTTCCCCTCATCTTTACAACGGGAGGGAGCAAGCCAGCAAGATCATGTTGATCGGGGAGGGGAGGGATGTATTTACCGTTCCTTGAGACAACAGAGGGTGTGTGAACAGACACACGAAACATGTCAGCAAGATGCTTTTCTAATATACTCTTTGAAGTTGCTTATGGATTGACAACTCGTATTTTGGTTTCCCCATAATCATTGACCATTCTAACGGCCTTGGAATTTGTTTACCTTCTACAATATGCTCAAATTATATGTAAGCCAAGACCCGTCAGCGGTTAGCGAGGAGGCATCCTTGTCGAGCGGCGCCGTGGATGAAACTGTGGGGAATAGAGGCGAGGGGGGGGGGTATGGAAGAGGGGGGACGAATGGGAGAAGAGGGACAAACCGATATCCAGTAGGATAGCCTTGTATGTGGGCATATTTGGCTGAATTTTATTTAACGGACGCAAGTGGTGTGTTGTTAGATCAACGTGCGGCGGAGGTATGTAGGAAGCTCAGGCGGAAGTTGCTTGTTTGGCCTTTGGTTGGATGGGGATTTATTAACTTACTGGCTTATTGTAATAATAGTAGAGACCTATTATCGTTTTTGGCTATTTTTTGCGAACTGCTGATATGCTGTTTCGGGTGCCCTCCTTCTGGGATACTGGAGCTGTTCTGTTGGGGATTTCTTTTTTGGGGCGTTGATCAAGAGAGAAGGTTGTTTCGCGATGCGTGTAGTGGGCCCTTTTATGACAGATCGTACGCAGGAGCTGAGATGGGCAGGGTCTAGTTAAGTTAACTGGGCCACCACTTAATGCTGTGTCGTGATGATGGAATTACCTTTAACTTGCAGGCAGTGCAACGAACCTCGGAGTAGGTTAAGTGAGGATAGTAAGGGAGTTCGTGAAATGTTGTTGAGACGGGCGATTTTGTTGTTGGGGTACGTACGGTGCGGAAAAAAGTCGATTGCGTGCAAATGCGCGAGCTCCAGGACGGTTATTCCACAATCTCAGCATGCCCTACCTACATTCACGAGGGCAGGGGGCTGGCTGGCTGGAAGAGGGGTTGGAGGAGGTTTCGAAATTTCATGGCAAATGTTTTTTGGCAACCCTCTCAAACAAGATGCGGTAGGCATTTTGGTGATGTTTATGGACATTGCAGTGATCCTATTTGCTGAACTGATTCCCTAGAAACGTTTATTGCTGCGTTTAAACGATTATAGGGAGCGCATCAATAGGCAAAGCGGTTTTGCAGGGAATTCTGCCGGGGGGAGGAGAGACATTGAGACATCAGTTACGCTTGGCGCATAATCTGTCCCCAAAGGTACCGAGAACACCTTGGAGTCCCATTTTTGTGGATTATCGATTTGTACGTGCACGGGCCTTGCAAAGAGAGCAAGAGACTCTGTTGCGCAGTCTGCCGGGCCAGGGACAGGACCACGGTCCACAAGCTTGAATTTCAAGGGTCTCGAAAATTGGAATTCCTTACATAGATGTAAGTACTTCCTCTTACCGGCCGTGCCATCAGAGAACACATGTATGTAATAATGAGTGGGATGTATTATGTTTACACACAGATCATACAAGGAACTTTGAGCCTGAGGAGTTTGAAATGTGGTGGATTTTGACACACTGTCCCCTTCTTTGTTTTCGGCCGGCGGGCTCCATTAGGGCGGCGAATAATTAGTCAAAACGTTTAATGAGAGTTGGAAACGAGATCACAGCTCGCTAGAAAGCCGCGTGCTCTCCACGAAGACGACTACCAGGGACAACGATAGCCGTTATCTGCGCCCGCAAACGCCGAAAGAGGGACGGACGACAGTCAGTTTTGGCGCTGGCTGGCAAATCTCACGCTCAGGATGAAGAAGGGGGTATTTTAGCTTTGCATTTTGCATCTCTAAAAACCCGGTGCACATGACGAAGAATTAGAACGAGATGGAAGCCGTGGAAGGGTGGGTATGGGATGGGTGATTTAGGTGTGTATGGGGTGCTCGCCATCCACACTCTCACAAACCCTCACACCGAGTCCTTTTTCGAGTAAACCTGCAAGATTTTGGAGCATTTCTAATGGTCGGCAGGCGCGTCAGAGTGGGTCGGCCTCTCGGTGGGACTTGGAGGATCACAACCAAGAACAGCGCCAACGTCACTGAAATTAGACAGCCAATAACATCAAGGAATCATACCCCTGTACCCCGTCAATTTAGAGCGGTTTACAAGGTTCCCTTCAGGGACGCTAGGCTGAAAATGTGATGGTCTGCTTCCACGTAACCTACGCCCACGATGTTCTGGGCAGATTGATCACACACCTAGGTACACACACCTTTTCCGCCTTTAAGTGGGAGCAGCAAGCAAGTGCAACTGCAGTAGGGAGGGAAGGAAGGGGAAGTAGCAGAGCAGGAGGAGGGCTGTACGACGCGGCCATACTAAGTCAGTCGGCCACCAAAAGCCCTTTCTGGCCCCCTCCGCCTAGAAAGGCGGGTGCAGTCGCCATTTTACTAGTGATCCATATATCAGCATTTTGCCCCTTCTCTTTCTCGTGCTTTCCACCTCCCTCATCGTTGTTTCCAGCCTGCGTTGTCACCATACCGACACATCTGTCCTGTCAATCTAGAGTCAGCTTTCCCCTGGGGGTCCCACCTCTTCTATCTCTCTCCCCCCCCCTTCCTTCCTCCTTCTCTTCACATCACAACCACACCACTCCTTCGCACGACTGAAACTGCAATCCATCAGCTAGAGACGTTTTTCTACGTGTTCTCACGGGAACAGCTTCGCTAAGCCGGATATCCACTCCCCGTTGCAGCATCATCGTTCGTCGCCGTCTATAACCAACTCCTAGCCCCCTGGGCTCATCGACTGTAACTCAACTGTTCCATTCGAACCCCTCGACTCTATTTAACGATAAAGACAACAACCGGGGCTTTTGTTGCTAGGGTACAAGATCAAAAACAACTGCCATCAGAGAATAGATAGCTAGTGACAAGCAATTCATTGTTGGCTCTTGTAGAGCTTCAATCAACTTCTGGTCATCCATTCTCTGATACCTTGCGTCCGGTACCTGCTAGTAGTGTACTCATCTCTTAAATAATTACCTGAGCAATCAAATACCCCCCCCCCATAGCTCGAGAGAGCTATCATCTGAACGAGTTTCCTTATCGTCGATCCGTGAGTCACACCACCATCCGGACTAAACTACAAACTTTTTTTTACATATATATCCTCATATATTGCAAGTTGGAAGTAGAATCAGCAAGCATTCACGGTGCTAACAGTTATTTCCCTGTACAGTTCATAGCAAATCTCTCATGCGTTCATAAGTCCATCCGCTCTTTTTTTCTTTTCTTTTCAAACAACACACGGTACAGCCCACGACCATTTCGATTATCTATTCTCTCTCCGAGGAACGTACCGCCTATATGCGTCTTGTGTTGCCGGTCTAAACATCCAATCATTTCCCTTTTCTCTCTTGCCCCCTCTCGATTAGTATCAATCCTATCAATACCCAATATCCCATCACATCAACAGATTTGAACGTCTGTTTTCTCGAAGAATTATAGATTCTTCATAAACCTTAGGTTTGAAACCTCAGCGAGGGGCATTCCTCAAGTGTGTGTATGACCATCAAAACCGCCTTCAGATAGACTGTTCTGGTTTTTACGAACAACTCGATCGACTCTTGAGTTCAAATAAGATAGTACTTTCCACCTATACCATAATCCTTAAACAACAAATTACAGCACAACTAAACTCAATGGATTGCATTAAAGACATTTTCCAAGAGGGTTCTCTCCTCGATGGGTATGATATCCATTGTATTGCATATCATGACGTGACTCACAGCTTACGATCGTTGAATTTATAGACGCTTCGAATCCATCAAGCTCCTCAACCACGGCTCTTTCGGCATGGTGTACCTCGCCAAAGACGTTTACACCAATGAATTGGTAGCCATCAAGTGCTTGGCTAAGGCTAACACTGGCACCGAAGGTGCAGGCCTCGCTATTGATGAGCTTTCTCAGGAACTGGAATACCACACTCAAATTGGCTCTCATCCAAACATAGTCAACTTGGCCCACTCCTTCGAGACCGAGACCCATGTCTTTCTTGCACTTGAGTACTGCCCTATGGGGGATCTTTATGAGACCATCTGCTCTGGCCGTGGACCTCTGGAGACTGAGCATGTCAGAGAGTTTATGCTGCAGCTGGTTTCAGCTGTGGAGCATATGCACGCCAGGGGTGTCTATCACCGTGACATCAAGCCGGAGAACATCTTCTTGAGTGCGTCTGGATCTGTCAAGCTTGGTGACTTTGGTTTGGCTACCATGGAACAGTGGACAGACGAGTCTGCTGTGGGAAGTGACCGCTACATGGCACCTGAACAATATGACTCTTTTGGTGGATACTCTCCTGAGCAGGCAGACATTTGGGCCATCGGCATCTGTCTATTGAACATTTTGTTTGCCCGTAACCCATTCACAGTCCCCTCAGAGAGTGACCCCCTCTTTGCAGACTACGTTCTTGATAGAGAGTCTCTCTTTGACATCTTCCCAACCATGTCCTACGACACCTTTGAGGTTCTTATCAACTGCTTATCACTCGACCCCAACAAGCGTTCCCTCAAGGGTGTCCGTGAGGCGCTTGAAAGAGCTGTCTGCTGGACCACTGACGAGGAAAGTCTTGATGACTTCTGCACCGAGGATAGAGATGTCGTTGTTGCTTCAGCCAATCGCGAGCCCCTCCGCACCCCATCCATTCCCAGTCCCCAGGTTGCACAAGGTGGCTCTTTCCCTTGGGCCCAGGCTTTGCACTCCACTCCCATGGCACGCCAGCTTTCTGTCATTCCCGACCAAGAGGAGCCCATGGTTCGTTACAGCGAGGATATGTTTGTCAACAGCCCCGATCGTTATGCTCATGACATGGGCTTCTACGTTCCCCCAACCCCCTCATTCGATTCTGGTCTTGGTGGCTCTTTCTCTTCCATGGAGCAACGTTTCAACCTCCGCGAAGACAAAATGCGCGAAAGCAAAGTACGCACTGAGACAATCCCCATTCAGACTTCAGCGGTTGGAAAGACCGAGAATGCTTTGAGTATGACTTTCGGCAAGCCTGAAGAGCCAATTTCTAAGTCTTGGAGTGATTGGGTCATCGAGGATGAGGAGGAGGAGGAGCGCGAGCGCGAGGAACGTGAGAAGGAGCTTAAGCGTAGAAGCTGGAGCTACGAATCCGACCAAGGCTACGATGATGACGGCTATGATGCCGAATGGGTTGGAGGTGGATGGGAGGACCTCACTGTGTAGGTACATACTTGATCTACGCTTCTGTCATCAGATTGGTCAATTGTTCTCTTCTTTTCGATCTTGGGAATTTTGAATCATGGCAGTGAAGCTGGTCGTGTAGGTGTCGATTTATTTTGAGGGATTTCCTTTTTTTTTTTTGCCTTAACCCAGCTGGTGGTGTGGTCAAGGAGGTTCGGGTCAGCATCAATTTTTGTATCTACTGGGATTTTTGCATCCCGACATATTCGAAATACCCTAGCCTCATACCTGGGTTTTCCTGCACATAAGTTTTCCACCTTTTCTTTCTGTACACTTTATTCCCTTCCATTGTTATCTTATTCCCCCCTTACTTCATTGTCCATTTCTTTTCACATTGTTATTACTACTCCTGCTTTGCTTGCTATCTTAGCCCATTTTTTCTTTCTTACTCAATCTCATCGACTTGGTTCTTGGGGGTTTGCTTTTTTCTATTGGGATTTCATGCTTGGGTGGTGTTCGTTTTATATCTGACATCTTATATGGCGGGTTTTGGGTTTTGGGTGGGTGGTGATGATTGTTGGTGCGCTTCGTTCTGTTTGATCGATATCTCTTTCTTTTATTCATTTCCTTTTACTTTTCCTTGCATTTATACGACAACATTAACGAAAAAAAGACGGGGGGGGGGGGGGTTGAATTGTGTATTGTGGTTGTGGTTGAGCTACTGGGTGTTCTTTTAGGTTTGATCTCCTTTTTTTTCCGCTGGCGGTGGCTGCCGGCTGGAAGTGTGTTATTATTGACATTTTGTTTTGTCTATTTTCCTTTACCGGCTTCAATTGGGGGTGTGTTGAATAGTTTGTTTTACTACTATTTCGTTTTTAACATGGTATTGGTGGGGGCAGTTTTTTTCTCTTTCTACTCAGGATATCTTTTCATTATTGGGGTTTACTTGTGGGATTAGCTCTTTTTTTGCTTATATTTTTGTTGTGGGTTTGGAGATGGGGCGGCGGGAACATTAGCATACTTAGAGCTGGTTTCGGGGACGAGATTGTAGGAAGTTGGGTTTGTTCATACATAGTCTCTTGCCAGGTCTGTTGGGGCACGCGGAGGATCCCTTTTTTTTCGAGCTTCTTTTTTCTAGGTGCCGTATTCGAGGCAAAAACAAAAGAGCTGCGGGAGAGTCAAATAAAAATATCAGATTTTGATTCTTCAATAATTATAACTTTTTTGAACTAAAGTGATCAAGAACCACAATTTGCTTGCTTTCTTTTGCCCACAAGAGATCATAAACCAATTTATTGCTACCCATGCGAGTCGGTTTTGCTATAACTGGACCACTTGATGCGCTGGCACGAGTTGTTTGGTTATCTGCGGGGTTCTGGCAGGTTCTGGGGGGGTTAGGGTTGTGATAGTGGGGTTGGCGGGGTTTACGGAATGGCAAAAATTTGGGGTTTCCCCTCCTTTCCTTCTTTTCCCTTTCCTCCCCGCTGCTGCCACGATCCACAACTCCGACTGCAAAAACAATGCTGGGTCTTGTTGCCAGTCATACACCAAACAGCAAGATGGAAGATACATGATGCAGCATTGATTACTGCTGATGATCGAACCGGCCTACTGATACTGGGGAATGGGGAAGATAGAACGGCCCGAGTTGTTGGGAGGAGAGGGGAGGGGGGCGGGGGTTAATCGGCGGACCTTCCGTCCCGTCGGAAGTATCAATTAATTACTAGCTATACTCGAACGGTCAGTGGTTTCGACACTAGAGTCCCTGTTACAGACGACGACCATCGACAAGCTCTATCGTAATATCAGTAGAGTGATTGTCACTTATCCTTCTGTCACCCATCAACGCTTTGATATTCAGCCATCCACTCATGACATCGGCCCGACTTCAACCTAAACGATTGGTAGTCAATGTTATTGGCGATATGTGTTGGATATAGGAGGGGTTAAAAGGAGATATATGCGGCTGGGATTCGTGGGTTGAAGTGTCGCAGGGGAAGTCCTGTTTATCTGATGCAGATAGGGTGATTATGGTTGTGGTGTAGATGGGTGCGTGGGTGGATGGGTGGATAGATTGATTGTTGGATGGACAGGCGAGGGGAGATTGACGAGGAAGAGAAACGACTCGGCTTGACTCCATCGTTGAATGGGGGGGTGGGTGGGTGAACGCGTGGGAGAGCAGGTGGCACTGAGACTGAGACAATAATCCTTGTGTGGATCAGGAGTTATAGCACTTTGCGTATGCCGGCCTCTGGATAGCAAGGTTACCGAAACGCCTCCCGGACCCGGATTCAAGGATCCAACTTGTCCCGTGTATGGGATACCCTGTTCGGCTCGGAGGTAGGGAGTGCATTATGTACATATATGTATATGAGGGCGATATCGATGAGGGTCTGAGCGGTTAACAACACGCTAGGTAGTGGTCCGAGGAAAGACTTTCTATTCGGAAATGTTCTGGAAATGTGAGAGAGGCGGAAACAGTGGCTCAGACTTTGATTCCTGGGCATCTATTGGTTTGGCTCCTCCCAAGGAGGAGCGCTTATATGAGGATCGGAAATTTTTGCCTCTAGTTGTCTAGGGCGTAGATTTGAGCACCAATCGTAATATCAAAAGGTGGGGGAAATTCTACTGGCTAATGTTAATAGCTCATTTTTGGTAGAGGGACCGAATGTGGGTGATAGGATATGATTGAGACCGCATACCTAGCCGATATTCTTGTTTCATCTAAGAACTCAAATACGACATATTCTCAGTTGACAGTTGTTAATGTACGCGTTCATTCACATACACCAAAGGCGAACAGCAATCTAATCGTTGCGTTACGTACTGGTTAGCGTGAAACATAATATTGCTTCTGCATATAAATCCACTTACCAATGACCACGGAGAAATGTCTTGATACAGAGGAATATAGAGAGCCAGTTCGTTCATTTTGAAGCTTCGATGCAGATTTCTCTGTCTTCTGGAAAGGAACGTCATAAACTGGTTGGCTTCATAACATTCCAGTCGCCATAAGCCAGCACTTTTACCAACCAAAAAAGGATCCTTGTAGGATCGGTGGGACCAGGTGAAGTCTTGGACTGGATCGAGTGATATATGTACTCCACAATATACGAACACGGTTGCAGCGGGTCGATTTGATCCATTGGCTGGATGATCTCCCATCATCGGCTCCTGTTCCCCAGGATATGCAGCCTGAGTCTCTCCGCTGACGTTTTTGCCAAAAAGCTTGATGATTTCGCTTGTGCCCGACCCTCACCCCCTCAGAAGTCGATGTATCGAATATCACGAGGATCGTCGTGTTGTCTATGTAACGCAGAGTAAGCTATAAGGGATATGGTAATAATGAGAAAACATACATACACGTCTCACCAGCATCATGCTACGATGCTACGTATACCGGTGCTGAGATGTGTTCGGTCAGTTTACTTGATTGCCCCCGATGATCGTGCAATTAATCGAATTTGATGATCGGACACAAAATTGAGGGGCTTGGTGAAGGAGCCAGCTATGATGCATTATTCGTGCACATCATACCGGTTACTGTGTTGATCCGGTGAGCGGGGAAGGGGGGGGGGGGGGGAATCCAATAAGCATAGTGCTACTAGTTGGTAAGGAAGTCATGAAGTGACCTTTCAATTATGATCTACCGGTATACCGCCGCTCCGTACCGGGTTTCATAGCATACGAGATTTCTGGGAGAACATATATTTCTTGTTTGTTCTGAGTGAGTGAGTTGGGTTTGGGTAAAAAAGGTTGCCCCCATTTTGCTGTAAGGATAGCCAATGGTCAATGGCACATCACATATATGCCACGCGTATGGTGGATGGTCGTCCTACCAGACGTATCCAGCTTCGTGCGGGGAATGGAACTCGATGGTGTCCGCCAAGTCTTCCATGTGTATGAAGCCGCAAATGGTCCAGTCCATATGTTTCCACGTCCTGCAGAGAGCCGTGTGTCTGCATTGAAAGGCCTAGTGCATATTGGTGGAGCAGTACTTTGATCCTGCTATATATAGCCTGCCTCTGATAGCTCCACGATGTCCTCCAAAGTGCCATCCACGATGTCGACATCCTTTGCAATTGAGGTGCACTTTGAGGTGCCCCTTGAGGTGCACTTTGATGTGTCCTTTGATGTGTCCTTTGATGTGTCCTCCACGCTGTTCTCCACGACGTCCTCTAGATTACGATATGTGCCTGCAGTACACATATTTTACTTAAAACCTATGTTATTCTGAAACAGATAGTATATATGATGGTACAAAAGTTAATTTGGTTACTTACATGTCCATATGTTTCATGTTCGTGTGACAATATTGCCAATGTTCTTGAAGACCTCCCGTTCCGGTTTACCGTCATGGAAGAGCTGGTTCTTGCAGTCAAAGAAGGAGATGTGGTTTACAGCAATTGAGAACACAGCCAGCCATGTTTTTACTTCCATGCCAGCCACGTGGGATGGTGACAGACTACATGGAGGATCCGGATTAACCTACATGTACATAACATACAGTAGTTTATAGCAACGTCATCTATATCATCTAAGTTAACCCCGATTTTCTTATCTTTCCCTTACTCCTACTAATGAATAAGCTTTTTATCGATGTCAAGCTTGGGAGAATTGATGGCCATTCAGTTCGCGCTAGAAGATTGCTAATCTATTTGCCATTTACGTCTACGCGGGATTTCCTTTTGAGATTCTGTAATATCACGTCATAGATTTCTTTTTTTATGAAAGGAATTATATTATATACTCTACATCCTTGGCCATGGGATATAAAAATAAAACCGCCTTGAGGAAATATTCGCTGATCGATCTTCGAAGCCTAATTATCTTTCATATAAAAGCCCTCCGTCATATCTTCCATTCATATATATATGTGTATCACCCCTCCAGCTAGCCTTTCACTTATACACAAGTGTATGTCTTTCACTCTTTAAATTTTAAAGACATTGGGCGCGGCCTGCCCAAGAAGACATAACGAGAGCCGAATATTATGCTGTAAAATTATAGCCGAGCCCTTGCTGTAAACCAAAACAGATGACCCCCGAGCTTTGTTGAGTGTATTCGGAATCCGGAACGCCAAGTTTAATATCCAGCTAAATCTGGCCTTTGAGACATCAACTCGAACCTAAAATCCACAACGTCCACAAACAACACCACGCTCGAGTAACTATCTCGAAATACTCTGTCTCTAACTACCATAATTATCCAACTTCCACCAGTCTCAAAAGCCTAAACTTTGTCCCCTCTGTCACAAATCCCCAATACTCAAATTCTATCTCCTTCATCACCACTCAGCACTCGGAGCTCAACAACAGTGTACTTCCGTTATATCCGTCGCCTCTTGGCATTCGGTACAAAGCCCTACCATGCGGGGTAACGGATGATATCTACTCCGACAGGCTGCGCAACACATTCTATGGCTAACTGTACGTATACGCACATGTAAGGGTTGCGTCAAAAAGAGTGCTTGGTTGTTGTAATGAACCTCGGTGCCGATAGCCAGCCATGATATCAGCCGCGATACAGATAGGTAGCGATTCATATTGGTGAAGATGCTCAGTTGGACTCAGTCTATAAGTTGGAGGATTCTGGAGAAGAATGGCCAGTTAAAAGAATAGTCAAGAAAATAAGCGTTTCGGAAACAGGCATGTTTATATTACCTACCTACCTACTTTCTTCCTGAGTGCTTTCTTCCCAAGCTGTGCTATCTAACAATCTCCAAACCCTAGGTATTACTACGTTAGCTATGAAGCAATCAAGCGTGCCTCGGCAACCCATCTATTATTCCCTGCAGCTAGTTGTTACCCGAGATTATTACCAAGAATTTCTAATTGGGGGGAGCCTTATTGTACTCACTACTGTACCTACATCGGTACTACGTAGCGGCACTACGAAAGTTGTTTTGTTGAATATTCACCTAAGTGCTATATAGATCTAGATGAACGAACGACTCTTTATTCAATTCCCATAACCAAAATCTCCTCCGTTCTCTAGATCGGTATTCTTCCCTCCAGATTACTTTTCCTCCCAAAGTTTAACCCTACCTGAAATTCATATTCACAATTCACCCACCGCAACTATGACCGTCAAATCCCGCTGGCAATGCACAATCCCTCAATGCTCCTTCCCCACCTACGTCTTCACCTCTCCCACGCACCCACTCCCCAAAACACCCCTCTACATCGATGCCCTCTCTCCAACCAATCATTACCTTACCATATACTCCTACCGCAGCACCGTGGTGCGTATCGCCTCCGGTCTCATCTCCTACGGCCTCCTCCCCGGCGATAGTGTGCTCCTCTACTCGGGAAACAATATCTACTTCCCGGCCGTGTTCACGGGCATCATCGCCGCCGGTGGTGTCTTCACGGGCGCGAATCCCACGTTCACCGCGCGCGAGCTGGCATATCAGTTGAAAGACTCAGAGGCCAAGTTTTTACTCACAAGTGTAGGGTCGATTGATGTGGGGATTGAGGCGGCGAAGATGGTGGGGTTGGATCCGGAGAAGGTATTTGTGTTTGATGATGGACTATATGTGGATGATGAGGGCGGCATCGTGAGGTGGGCGACGAGGGAGAGAGTCAAGGGTATAAGGCATTGGAGTGATATTGTCATGGCGGGGAATGATAAGTTTGCTTGGGATGAATTGAGTACCGAGGAGGAGGTGAATAGAACGGCGGCGATCAATTATTCGTCTGGGTATTCTCCCCCCCTGAATCTGCCCCCTGGTAAAGTCATTAATTGAGGATTATACCAGTACCACCGGCGTTCCAAAAGGAGTAGAAATCACACACCGTAATTTCGTCGCAAATGCCCAGCAAAATGTCCATGTCCGCCACCAGAGCCAAAAGCCCTACGCGCCCCCGCGCTGGCTCTGCGTCATTCCCATGTACCACGCAGTTAGTACCCCAACCCACCATGAAAAACAGTGATGATTCATTTGTTCAGAGATTCTAACCTATTCACAGTATGGGCAAACGTACTACGCCACAATAGCCTCTGTGCGTCAAATCCCCACCTGGATCTTGCCTAAATTCGACTTCCTCACCTTCCTCTCCTGCGTGGAGCAGTTTAAGATCACCAACATCGGCGGCGTCCCGCCTATCATGGTCGCGCTCGCAAAGCATCCCGAGGTCGTAAAATACAACCTGAGCTCCGTCGTCAACCTGGGCTGTGGCGCCGCGCCATTGAGTCGAGAGATTAGCCGTACCGTGGAGGAGCGGGTTAGCCGGGGCCGGGGCCTGAAGGAGAATATCAACCTGAAGCAGGGGTGGGGAATGACTGAGTATGTATCTTTTTTTATAGGCTGTGAGTATTAATGACTAGAGATATGAGCTGATGAAGATGCTGGTAGGGCGACATGTTCACTTATGGGCTTCCATCCGGATGATAGAGATGAAGATGGATCTATCGGCGAGGTGTTCCCGAACTGTGAAGGAAAGATCATGGATGCAGAGACGGGGACAAAGGAGCTGTCTGTTGGCGAGAAGGGCGAGATCTGGGCTCGGGGCCCGAATATCATGAAGGGGTACTACAAGAACCCGAAAGCCACGCGGGAGACCATCACAGAGGACGGATGGTTAAAGACCGGCGATATCGGGTACTACAACGAGCAGAAGAAGTGGTATATCGTTGACCGGAAGAAGGTATGATATGACGGCTTCTTCAAGATCTTGGGCCTATCGGCACACATAGTCTGACAGGGCCGCGACATCTAGGAACTTATCAAGGTTAAAGGAAACCAGGTGGCACCAGCGGAACTAGAAGGGCTTCTACTGGAGAACCCCGGGATTGCTGACGCGGCAGTCATCGGGATTGCCTAGTTCGTCTCCCCCACCCCCGATATCTATAATATCTCTAACACTAGCACAGTGCCGAAGATGAAAGACCGCGAGCCTATATCGTACTCAAGCCCGGTACCTCACTAACAGCCGACGACGTGAAGAAGTGGGTTTCCGAGCGGGCAAGCAGACACAAATGGCTCACCGGCGGCGTAGTGCTGGTGAAAGACGTTCCCAGGAATCCGGTATGTGACACTTTCATTTTCCTGATATGTCTTTATTTGATACTGACTCAATTTTGCTTGTAGTCGGGGAAAATATTGAAGAAGGTGCTGCGAGAGAGGGCAAAGACCGAGGTGGTGGATACGGCGGACCACAGGGCGAAGCTGTGAGGAGTATATATATAGGTACCTGCGCTTGTGTATATAAGTACATGACTTTATGATCGTCAATTTCATACGTTTTTTAGAATTATAACCATTCTCCGAAGTGTTTGCGACTTGAGATCTAGTGTATCTGGTCTAGCCAGATGAGCGGACGCCTTTTACGTAGCTCTGTAGAAATTATTGTAATCTAGTGACTATTGCTTAAGCCCAAGAACCAACACCCGCAAACACATACTCAGCCGTTGAGCGGAACCCCCACTAACTACATACATGTATGTAGCCAAGTCATGTCCCCAAGCCCCAACCCTAAGAACCCCGCGCAGCCCAGCGCAACATACTCGCGTCTATCCTTCCCCACCTGTCCAAACCATCCGTCCATTCCAGCTAACATGTAGGCACGCCCGTCTCTCACGTTGCAAACTGGTATATACAACACACCACATCGTCTGGCTACATTTGGGTTCATCATGTGCTATCACTCGGGCGCCAAGAACCACTGCGACAACCTAGGCTTGGCATTGCGTTCCGGACGCATAGCTCAGGGCTGATCATGGCCCTCTACCACTGAAATGGAAAAGATACCGCGGCTTTTCCCCCCTCATGCGGTTGGCTACGAACTGATAGGTCTACCTGCCATCAGTGCTATCTGAAGGAGATACATGTTTACATGAGAGCGAGGCGCACATCGAACATGTTATCCCATGGTCCGTCAATGCTGACCCCCCTATAATAGAGGAATAAAATTTTGTATGGGAGATCTATTATTTGATAAGATCTGTTAGTACACAAAACTTGCTTTTTTCTGGGGTCAGCATTTCACTGACGGACGATGGGATAACCCAGGTGCAGTTTGCAACAACTGGCTCGGCTCCACCTATTCCAGACATAAGGGTCGGTCCCGGCATAAGATCCGTATTTTAACTTAACAGCAGCCATATTGAACAGGTACAGCTGCACAAAGCGCGGATAGTAGCAACATTGATGAGCGGTCAGCAGTCTACCCTGGTGGAGTAGGCGGCGTATAAACCCCGTAAGCCCGAAACATGCTGTCATTTTCTTTATGGGGGCTAAAAGTTTGGTTTTTACTATCAAGTTTTTATCATTGATGTAAAGTTGTTAGTCCCCGCTCAAATGGGTCATCAGAAGCTTAGGATAGCTTGTATACACAGTTTAAGGGAGTGATGGTGCTTTCTATGGATAGATATCTGATTGGGGGGAGCCGGGATTGCCCACCCAATCAAAGAGTTGTTAGGGGATGAACATTCGGGCTTTAGGATAAGTGTGCGAATCTCTCGACTTGAAATTCGATTAATTCTTCGACCCTTTGGATAGGTCTTTTTTCTGGAGACACTTAGTATATCAAAGTATTAGTACATATAGTGTCGTCATACAAGGATAAGATTGTACTTGTCCTTATTTCCGTTTCGCACAACTTTACCATTAGTAAGGAGAAGCCTCTGTAATAATTAATAATTAACTGTTTACCTGCCATTAGCACATGTATTTATTATCTACAGTAGTAGCGATATTACATGTAGTAAGAGAAATCGATCCGAGCTTTCCCACCGTAACAGTCCGCGCCGCCGCACAAGACATCACTCGCAGCCCACCACAAGCCGGGTAACCCAACCACACCCAAAAAAACTCAGCAGCAGAAAACTCCAAATCCCAAGCTCTAAAACTTCACCAAGTTAACCTTCACCTCCAACCAAACTCGCCCTATACGCCACAATGCCTTCCCGCGGAAACCCCAACGTCCCCACCTCCGTCAAGAATCGCTCGCGCAGCCGTAAAGCCGGCGTCAAAGCTGGTGTCAAGGCGCGCGCCCGCCCCATCGCCGCCCGCTCCGCTACCATCGAAACACAGACCCAGAGCGGCTCCGGTGTCCACCGCGGGCGCACACTCAGCGCCAAGAAGGTGCGCCGCACCGAGCGCCGTGTTGGGTTCGCGAAGCAGAGGAAGGAGGAGGCCTTGGATGAGATTAGGAAGGCGGGGGAGAACGGCATTGTCGAGATGACTGGTTAGTAGTGCCCGCTTGTGTGTATGGAGAGTGTGGATAGAGTGTGTAGGTTAACAATGATGGTATAGATGTTGCGGCGCTCCCATTGTCGAAGAGGCAGCAGAAGCTTGCGGAGAGAGCGGAGGCTAGAGCGGAGGCGGCGGTGAGGGCTGCTGAGAAGGAGGCGGTTAAGGCTGCCGAGAAGGCGGCGAAGGCGGCGGAGGAGGCTGCTGCTGCTGCAAAGGCTGCTGAGGAGAACGAGGACGAGGACGAGGACGAGGCCGGTATGGACATCGACTAAGCGCCAAGCCATACGACGAGGAGACCCCAGAGGGATTGTAAAGGGCGATCGACGACTTAATACGAGAAAAGGCGACGGAAGGCTATATAGTAGCCGAAATCTGTATATGTACTCTCTACGGACGGAACAGGGCGGATAAAAGTTAGTTGGATTTTGGGCGGCGTTTTCTGCTTTTTTTTTTTACTTAGGAATTTAAAGATAAGGAATTCACTTACAGTTGAGAAGAAGTTTTTCTTTATTTCTTAGAACAAAGTTGTAAATATTGGAGTTTGAATCCTTCAATTGGTAGTTCCTTTTTGATATTTTCGGTGATGGTGCAAGATTTTTATTAATTGAAGCAATGATAGAATTGCAACAATTTTTGCGGACCCGGAAATTTAAGGTATCGCCGAGTGCACTAAAAATTTGTTTTTGTTTTTCTTAGAACAACTCCTGTAAACTCGACATTTGCGGAGATATTTGGTTTTGGTACTAGTGCTGTATGTGCAGGTCATAAATCCCAAGTAATCATCTGGTACCACTCTCGGTATCCCGATTCTGGCGAATCCCGAATCCCGAATCCCGGATTCCTTGCAAATCCTCGTGCCACACCGCAGGCGGCGAGCATTGTAATCTGTGCCTCCCATCCACATCGGGGGATAAATTCCTTAGAATTTCCCAGTGCCCTTCCAAAAATACAGTGTTACGTCAGTCCCGAGATTGCATGAAGAATGAGAGAGTAATATTTGGAGAGTGTAGACGCTGAGAAGTGAGATTGTGGCAGCCGCCGCCGGATTGGTAAACTGCAGGGCTGCAGACAAAGAGGGTTATCGATAAGGGGCGGCTATGTATGTATGTTGGGGATAACGGTGGTGTAGTGGTGTGAAAGGTGGGGGTTACGCGCCGAAGGGGGATAGGTTGTGTTACGCTGGTGAGACTGTAGAACACACGGGTGTGGCATCTATTTGAATTTAGAGACATTGGGATGTGGAGATGTGGAGTAAAATGTGTTCTTTTGTTTATGTATGCTTTGGGTTCCGCTTACCTGCCTCGAATCTCGGGAGAGAACGTCTGGATATTCAAATTTAGAAGCTTTTCTTTTTTTGCCCCCTTCTTTTCCTATTCACCGCTGTATGGAGAGATAATGATCCAGCGCAGCTCGAAAGCTCACATACGTAGAGCTTCATGTTGTTGTTGTCTTTATTGTTATCACGGTACGTACCATCCTGTCTCTATTCTATATCCGATCTCCGGCTGAGAGCGAGCGAACGTGCCTAATTTACCACTCCTTCCGCCGCCTCCTTCTTTCCCGCAGCCACGGGATTGGTACGGGAAGGAACGTTGTAGAACAAGGGAATCACCTTGCATGTGTCTATTATGTCTGTGTCTCTCATGTCTCTGTGCGACAACTAGGTAATTGAGGTACGTCTTGGCACGGGAAATAGCTGCTGACCCCCAGCGGCGGTGATGGAGTTGAAGAGAGTATGTACTTTATGGTACGCCCTACTCTAGGGATGTATGCAGCTAGAAGGACGATAATATAGAGTTGCGGTCAGTCAGCCAGTCATTCAGTCACCAGGCGGCCCAGGAGGCAGCGATATTCGGAGAGTGCGGCTGAGCTTCCTTCGGGGATGGTAAGCCCGAAGTCTCATCTAGGCAATCGGCCAGGGCTCAGGAATCTCAGGGACTTTAGGGTGAGGTTTTGTTTAGTTCTCCCGCTAGTGGGGCCCAATTGCTGATGGCGAGGAGGACAAGGGCATTGTCTATCATCCAATTGCATATGGCTAATTATAATAAGCAATAACTTAATACATAACTAAACCTGAGACGTTGATCTTTCTGGGCGCTGTTTGAGGTAGTTGAGATACGTAACCTCAGGAAGGTAATCTACAGGAGAATGAACAAATTTAAATAGGTCGTTCTAGTTATTTGGCGGTAGATTTGTAGTGAGGTGCCGCGTTTTTGCTGAATATGGAGATCGGCCTGTACGTTTGAATAGAGTAAACTACATGTAGCTTGTGCCTGTAGATTCGCCCAGGAGGAGCAGGAACAGGAGAGGAAGATAGTAAGTGGGGGCGTTTTATTTTTAGAACAGAGGAGAGACCTCTAAACCCAGGTTATGATAGCAGGGAAGGGGAAGGGGAAGGAATAGAACAAGAGGAACAAGGTTTAGGGTTCCGGGTAGAGAGAAAGAGAGGAGAGGGGTTGAAATTAAGATTGAGATGGTGCACGGCGCGAGCGATGTTCTTCGGTCGTGCATGCAGCGCAGTTGCTTCTGTGTTGTTCGTTTGTTGCGCCTGTTTCTGTTTCTTGCATTGTACTTTAACTGCTGTATGTAGGGTTCCTCATGTCACTGCACCTACGTTTACCCCTTCCTTTTGTCTCTATTCAAGAGTACATAGCAGTCGCGCCTGATTCTGACCGGTTTACTTCTCAGTAGCCAGCAAAAGAAGAAAAAAGAAACAGCGGCAGAGTAGCAGCAGTATTAAAGACATAAGCAGAAGTTATTGGTAGCAGGTACCTACATCGATAGTAATATTACATGAAGCCCTAAGTAGGTGTAGTACCCCACACAAAGTTACGCCGAGCACTGGCAGGCAGCAGTAGCAACAAGCGTCCCTAGGAATTCTATTCCATTCTCAGATTTCAGCAAGTGTGTGACCGATATACTGTGTACTGTTCCACGACTACTACCCCCCTCACCTCCCCTCTCAAAGCCGAGAAGCGCCAACCATCCCGGCTTTCATCTCCCTGGATACAATCATCATCATCTACTCAGCAATAAAGAAACTTGTCTCTATCGAAAACTTCTTTGTGGCACACTTGACCGTTACTCTCGGTCAAATTCTCTGCTCGCACAGCTACTTTTTTCGGTAAGCATCACTTTCCCTTCACTCCCCATCAGCTCCCTTCCTAGCTTTCCTGCATCTCACCAGTCCTCCCTTCGCCAGTCTACTTACGCTGCAACCAGCCGAAGAATATACAAGGCAGGAAAGAGCACCCGTAGCTCAGCTTCTTCGAGCCCACAAACTCCTACCACAAAAGCCCAGAGACAAAAAAGCACCGACATTTCAATTATTCCAGAGATTCGGAACGTGTCATAACGTGTGAGTCGAAATATCAAAAAGTAAGTTAACCTCCAAATAACCTGTGAAGAGGTTGTATGTGGCTTGTAAAATTCCGTTGCTCATCCCCGAAGTTTGCCCGCCGTTAAGGGGCTTTTCGCGTCTTCTGCCCGCCAACCCCACCGGGTCCTTCACAACACTCTCATTCTATAAACCATCAACCACCACATTCACCTCCGCCTCCGTTAACTATTTCGAGTTTGACGGCTTGGAACCCCGTCGAGCTGTTTTATCTACCACCTACATCACTCCCTTCCTTCCTGCACCCTCCTGCGTTGGTTCCCCTTGCATTTGAGTTTGTCCTAAACTGGTAGAAGTCAGTTACCTCCATCCTCTTACACTACTACTCAAACCCTACCCCCACTCCTCCCCGAACGAGAAAAAGGATCAACCATGGCCTCAGGTTATCAATACAATGACAATTCCTTCTTGAACCCCGGACCTGCCCCGCGTCCACCTCAGGGCCGTCCTCCTGTCGCGAGCTCTGCTGCGTCTATAGCCTCCACAATCCATCACCCTCACCACTCCACCGTGTCAACCATCAACTCCCCATCTCCATACGGGTCTAACATGAGTCTGGTCAACACAAACACCAGTCAAATTATTGCTAACAACGGGACTCAGATGTCGTACGCAGATGGAAAGATTCACGAAGGATGGGCTTCCATTAAGGAGGATGGGTTGAAGTCCCTCTACTGGACAAAGAAGTACCTAATTCTGCGCGAGATTTCGCTGGATTTCCACAAGAATGAGTCGTCAACGTCCATGTCTCTCTCTATCCCCCTGAAGGACATCATCTCTGTCAACCGCACAGACTTGAAGCCCTACTGCTTTGAAGTTGTTCGCACATCCTCATCCCAACAGGGAAATACCATCTCCCCCGATGCGCCTCGACGCACCGTGTTTGTCTCCGTCAAGTCAGACCAGGACCTTTATGCCTGGATTGACGAGGTGTACTCTCGGTGCCCGTCCATGGGCGGTGTGTCCAACCCCACAAATTTCACTCACAAGGTACATGTCGGCTTTGATCCCATTAGCGGGGGTTTCACAGGTCTTCCCGAAGAGTGGAGTAAGCTGTTGAACTCCAGCGCCATCACAAAGGAGGACTACCAGAAGAACCCGCAGGCTGTCATCGAGGTGTTGGAGTTCTACACCGAGGGCCAGCAGCGCATGAATGAGGAGGGTGGATTCGCCGGCATGCCACCGCCGCAGGGACTCAGTGCGACACAACAGCGGCAATTGGCTGGGTTGGCTAACCAACAGCAAGAAGAGCGTGAACGTGAGCAGTGGGAGCTGGAGCGTGAACGTGATGCGTATAGAGAACAGGAGTACGAAAAGTCTCAGCGTGAACAGCAGGCACAGCGTGAAAAACAAGAGCGGGAACGCCGCCAGATTGAGCGCGAGAACGAACAGCGTGAACAGGAAGAACGTCAAAGAGAGGAAGACCTGTTCAACCAGTCCGGTCATCAACAGGATGATTACGAGGAGGAGGATTACCCTCAAAAGGTTAGCACAGCTCAGCAGCCGATTATGATGACTGGAGGTGGTGGAGGCTTGTCTTCTCAAGGGCGTTATAACCCAATGGCTCCCAAGACTTCCGGCTCTCAGCGAACACCTGCGAAGGGAGCGAATGGCCGGGATATGGATCCCAGAAGGCCTGCTCCTTCTGCTCCTGGCGGAACTCTTCCCAGACCAACTCATGGCTCTCAGAGAACACCAGGTGGTCAAACTACCCTACGTACTCCTCCGTCAAGGCCGGACCAGAAGACTCCGTCAAGGGAACCCAGCCCAGCTGCTGGAGCTCGTGGTCCGACCCCTGTCAACACCAAGCAGACAACACTTCAGTCTTCAAACCAGGCTTCACGCATCCCAGCTCCTACAACCCCGACTGTCAAGCCACTCAATGTCCCGACAAAGCCGGCGAACGCGGCAAAGGAGGTCATTACAAAGCAGGAACGCAAGGAAAACCAGAGGCGTGTTTCGGGCATGACCGAAGCCCAGGTTATGGAGAAGCTGCGCTCTGTTGTATCACCTGGAGACCCCAATCAATCATACACAAAGCTCAAGAAGGTTGGTCAGGGAGCTTCTGGATCCGTTTATGTTGCCAAGATCAACTCATCGCCAGCTTCTGCCATGGCCGCATCTATGCTTTCAAGCTCTGGAAAGAACAACGCCAGGGTGGCCATTAAGCAGATGGATCTCGCACACCAACCAAGGAAGGAGTTGATCGTCAACGAGATCTTGGTCATGAAGGAGAGTCAGCACCCGAACATTGTCAACTTCTTGGACGCCTTCCTCAAGGGGAACAGCGAGCTTTGGGTTGTTATGGAATACATGGAGGGAGGTGCACTTACAGATGTCATTGAGGCCAATACTCTTGAGGAAGATCAGATTGCCACTATCTGTTTCGAGGTATATTTGATATCATACTTGGATCACCGTGTTGGATACTGATTTTATTCTTTCAAATAGACTTGCAAGGGATTGGAACATTTGCACGCCCAGAACATCATTCACAGAGATATTAAGAGTGACAACGTCCTATTGGATGCCTATGGTCACGTGAAGATTAGTATGTTACACTTTCATTGAGTGCATCCGTATTTATCCTCCTTTTTATATTTCACAAGCTAACCACATAATTTTTGATAGCCGATTTCGGGTTTTGCGCCAAGCTCACCGAACAAAAATCCAAGCGTGCCACCATGGTCGGTACCCCGTACTGGATGGCACCCGAGGTCGTCAAGCAGAAGGAGTACGATGCCAAGGTTGATATTTGGTCTCTTGGTATTATGGCTATCGAGATGATCGAATCCGAACCACCCTACTTGAACGAGGAGCCTCTCAAGGCCCTCTACCTTATTGCAACTCATGGAACACCCACCTTGAAGAAGCCTGAGAAGTTGAGTAAGGAGCTCAAGAACTTTTTGGCTGTGTGCTTGTGCGTGGATGTCAAGCACCGTGCTACTGCCGAGGAGCTCTTGAAGCACGACTTCCTCAGGAAGGGATGCCCCTTGGCCAGTTTGGCAGCGTTATTGGCCTCTAAACAGAAAAATTAAACCGTAATATCCACCTAACGGAGGTATTTGGATGACGATTACGAAAGCTTAGATTTTGGGTCAATTTGGGGTTCAGTTACTTATCTTTTTTTTTTAACGGGGTGACTGAAATGTGTAAATTTCTTTCTTCTAGAGTCCCTGTTTTACGGAAGCTAGATGGGAAAAATGAAAAATGCATATCGTTTTTGTTGCAATTGGTCGGGAGGATGTGGCGATATACCTATTTTTATATTTCTTTTCTTCATTTCTTTGTTGTTTCATGTTTTTACGAAGGCCTGCCTGCATATGACTTCAGTTGGGAGCCCTTTTATTGTTTTTTTGCGAAAGCTGGTTTCATTTTTACGTTTCGACCTCATCATATCATACGTCTACTTAACTACCCTTTTTACGTTACCTACAATACTCTTAACTGCCCCCTTTTTACGTTATCTATTTTCCCTACGTCAACGTTATGTGTTTTTTTTTTTTTAAAAAAAACTCTTCTTTTATGATTCCTTTTTTTGTTCAATGGTTCTTTGGGAAGGGAATGGGGAAACAACAAAAAGAAGACAGGATAAAGATCAGCCTTTTTATTAATGGCACGAGCCTCTTTCCATGTATCTGCTTTTTTTCTTTTCTTCATATTCCTTTTTTTTTGCTCTCATTATTGGTATCACTTTGTTATATCTAGCTGGCGTTTGTTCGTCCATCATGAGTTTTTGATAGCCGCTTTTTATACCATAGTTTTTCTTTTCCTTTTTTCATTCTTCAAATCTTTTTAATTTTGAGGTTTGGTGGGGTTTATTTTTGCGGGTTCTGCTTTTTTGTTGGTAGGGTTCGATTTGATACTGAAATAGAGTTGGGTGCGCAGCGTTAACTATCATGACATGTCGTCGTTGGGGGTGGTGGTTGGTGATGATGGTGGTGAGAAAAAAAGGTCTAGGATCTGGAAACTGGGTCCTGGGACATTTGCCTGCTGGGGTGTCATTGTCATGCATGGTCCGTCACTCGGAGGAGAGACATTTCTGATTGGTTTGGGGGTGGTTCTATAACCCCGTAATCAGGGAGTTTGCTATTTATGGATTTTTCTGCTGGGGAACAACTTTTTTATTGTTAGCTATGTTTAAAGATGCGGTATTTAGAAGCTTGAGGGTTGCTATAGGGAGGATGTGGTACTGTAGAGAAATTCCAGGTCACATCTATCAATCTTCTTCTTCTTCTTCTTCTTCTTCTTCTTCCGGGCACTTGCTTTCTTCGAATTCTTCTGTAGGTGGTAAGTTCGTGTTGTAATGGTATGAAGTATGAAGTGGGGAGAATTAAAGAGAAGCAGACACTGTGCTGCGTCTAAATATCCACACCACTTAACTACCCTACCTATCATTGGCAACGTTGCCCAAATTATCATTGGCAACGTTGTCCAACCTATCATTGGCACCGTTACCACGAGGACTCTACATCTTTAGCTTCCTATTCAAGCACGTTTGTCCAAATTCCTAGCCTTACCTCTATATACTACCTGCTATCAGCCCGGCATTGATGCATGTATCTCCCCTTTACGACTAGTCACTTTTGAAGCAACGACGAAACTGTTGGTAGTTAAGCAGGGTGACGCTCGGGCCGATATCTAGCTACAGCGGTATATGTACTTGTAATTGATTAGAAATCTAGTATTTGTCGTTACCCCAGGTTCGTCGTTGCTCCAAAAGCGACTCTACATGTTCTCCTATATGTCATAGTCATTATTATAACAGAGCTAGAGGTCATCTCCAAACAGTGTTTTATCCTCTACACTAGCACTAGTAGTACCTGGGCGGGAGGCCTGAAATCGATAACTTTACACATTAGAGCATTTTAGTCCCCATATTTCTGCCGTAATTCGGCCATATTTCTGCTGCAGAAGCCACGTGCGCCACACCATTTTACGTGGAAGAAATATGGCCGAATAATGGATTACAGGGATGGACTAAAATGCTCATTATTCCTGGAATCGAGAGTCCCATCAACATCTCCCTTATTAACTCATTCTTGGCATATTATTCCCGCGGCGTCTTCCGTATCACAGGATAGATTTCTGAGGTGTGATAAACGCTCATGTATCTATCCGCTCTTGCATGGGTTGCGTGAAAAGAGACTACTCTAGACGGCCCAATGATGGTTTCGACGATGAAATGGCGAGCACCCACTGAGTGATATATCGACTCCATACTCTAGAGGCTTACATACGTCTAGTAATATATCCCATATCTCCTTCTCCTATAATATGAAAGGTCAGTGCGGAAAATAATTTCGCAAACGACGGGTACTGATTAACCAAAAACCTGCCGAGGGAGAGAAGGAGGGGGAAGAAAGAAGGGAGGGCCGAGGATTAAGGCTTGAGGCAGGCTTCTAGATCCTAGGTTAATCAAGGCGTGTACTCTACGTGTGCATGAGTCCAACAAACGTACTCTCAGCACACTTTGGTAAATCCCCTCCTAAAGCCATGGATCTAGTTGTTGTCACCAATAACGTATTTGACCCAGCACTGTCAGACTTAGGCCTAATCACAACCAAATTTATTCACAGTCGAATTTCAATGCCAATGACCGATTGACCAGTTTCACACGGCACCAGGTTTGCGGTGGTAACACCGGGCTATGTACCTCTAGTCATACATAAAGGATATTATTCACAGTCCTCCAATTGCAATGACCTCCAATTATTTCTCGAACCGCAGTTACTAATTACGAAGGCCGGTGGTCATGGCCAACATATGTCAAAACTAATTAAGCTCCCGATCCAGCCAAGCGCACCACTACCCTATTAATATATTGCTCGATCAAACATTACATTACTCGTGCATGACGGCGTTTGGGAATTATAACTCGGTGTCATCGGCCTCACAGATGCCATTCTATTAACTACTACAACCTTCTTCTCCTTCTCCTCCTTCCTCCTTCCCCTTCCCGCCTCTTCCTCCGCTCAGACCTCATTTATAGTGGCCGCCTGAAGAATGCATATCAGTATCTGATATAGCTCTTCTCCATGCAGCATCTCGCCGGTAACAAAAGTTTTATTCCCGACCACATGTATCTGTACTAGTAGCATCCGTCAATATTTATGCACGAGACAATCGCCTTACATTACAGCCTTACATTACAACCTTAGCACTGGATGCCTGAACGCAGCTTCGCGTATATAATTCGCAGTAACTCACTCCCCTAATTCCAACCCCACCATACCAAACACGCACAAACGAACACCCCACAATCCCCACGATATTATCACCACCACCGCAATAATGGACTACGAATTCCAGAACGCCAACACCTGGGAAGAAACCAGCCCCGTCACGCCCGTCCGCAAAGCAAAACCCAAAAAGAAAAGCAGAAAAAAGAAGCCCTCCGCACCCGCCTCCGTTGCCGGCTCGGCTCGCGCGACCAGTCCCGCCCGTTCCATTAACAACGGCGTCCGCGTTGACCCCAGCAGCCCGCCCCCAGGCAGCGCGACCGGTAGAGCCCCCGCAAGACCCGTCAGTAGTAGGAGTAGCAATAGTAACGCAGCAGCGCGCGCAACCAGTCCTGCCAGATCAACCACCAGCAACAGGTCTAGGAACAGCAACAACAACGGTAACAACAACAGAAACGCTGCTCGGCCGCCAAGTCCCGCGAGATCAACAAGTAGTAGGAGCAGTGTCGGCAATAACAGAAATGCATCTGCTGCAGGCCGGGCGACAAGTCCTGCAAGATCTGTCAGCAGCGCGGGAGGTAGGGCCCGCTCGGGATCTTCGACTGTCTGGGGTGGGACGGCCACTCCTTCCAGAGCGCAGTCTGTAAAGAGTCCATCGTCGGTGATTGCGCCGTCGGAGTATGATGATCCTTGGGGCGAGAACCGTAAGTCGTATCCTGAGAGCGTGCGGGACGATTTTTACGACGGGGACGACGATGAGGAACTGAATGAGCTGGATGATCTGCATACTATATCGGCGTACACTAGGCCGATTTATTACGGCGATGGGGATATATGGGGTGAAGCAGATCCATATGAGGGTCCTGATGGGCTGCGGAGAGAGAACGAGGGTGTAAGGTTGGAGAGACTCGGGGCCGCTCCAAATGGTAGGTTGATATACGTATATACATTGAATATTATATCTTGCCGGCCTTGTGTCTTATTTTTCTGCGCAATCTATAGGACACTATGAGATAGCGGAGCGCCGTAGTGCCATCTTTGATGAACGGTTCTTTGGGCCCAGAGGTGTAAATCTCCGCCATATCGCGCAAAAGACAAACACGTACGTGAGCATGCCGAATGACGATGCAGACCCTGTAAGAAATAAACCCCTCATGCTTCCATAGCTCCCGGAGAATCATGTATTGACAAACCATGATATAGCAAGTGCACATATGGGGGCGGCCAGACCAGGTCGCTCTCGCCACCCGAGATCTTATGCTCCTGTCAGAGCACATCTTCCACCAGATGAACCTCAATGAAAAGCTCAAAAAAGACGGCCGAAAAAAAGGTCGTCCCGGCCGTGAACGTGACTGGGTCAGAATCCGAGCCCAGCCCAGCGAGCGCAAGCAGCGCTACCTCGACCAGGAGAGGCGTAGGAATGAGAGGTGCCGGCAGCTGCGGCGGCCTCCTCCCAAAGCCCCTTTCGAGTTTAATGCTGTAGGAACCTTTTTATGGCCAAAGGAAGCCAATGCACAGGACCATCTTGGGACGAGTTTTGAGCTGCTGGATGATGTGAGGGTTGAGCATGATGTTTGGATCCTTGACCACAGGCAGCTGGATGGGTATATGTTTCAAGTCCTTGGGGAGGACCCGGACGCCGTGGATAAAGCTGTTGCAAGGCTGTATGGAGCATTCTGCGCGGCAGCTGCAAAGAATCGCACAATCATAGATAAGCACCTTCTTCATCCTCCGTCTATGGATTTAAAGAACATCCGTGTTGGCCTTATCAAAGAGCGGGAGCTGGAGAATTGCCAGACGATAGAAAGGTTTGGGGGGAGCACAACGGGGGCCCGGGCTCTCCTCGTTGGCGAATCTCCATCCTGGGAATTTGTAGAGAGCTGGAAGACCAGGCGAGAAGTCTTGGAGGCGGCCAATGACCGTTTTATCAGGAGAGTGATGCAAGAAGGATTGAGGGAAGTCGTTTACTTTAGAGGTTATGCTTCTTTGAAGATAAATTTTGGGACTTTGGTTCTCTTCGGTTATAGAAAACCACCGCCTGAGGGATTCTCTATAGAGGATTTCTCTAGTATGGTCCGGGATCCGATGACAGCTGGAGAGCTCATCAAACAGTACGTTATATCCCCACACTTTGGCTAGATACATATGCACTAACAACCCTCTAGCATAGGAAAAGAGCACGTTGCAAAGGCATTAATCACCGAATGCCACGCACGAAAGGACCTCTTCCACCATGTGAACCGCGGCCACTCCAAATTCGCCGAAAACCCCTACAGCGACCTCGCCGACGGCCAGGGAGAAATCCACGACATCCAAGACGACCTCGATATCCCCGACCCCAACATCGAGGCCACATTCGAGTGCACAATCTTCAACGGACCCCTCTCCTCCAAGATCCGCCTCGAGATTGAGTTTGAGCGCATCCCCGGTAAGCATCCGGGCGATATGGCAAACGCCGCCGGTGACCTCTACCGGGTCGGCATGCGCCGCTGGCTCTTTATCCAAAAGAGTGCCAACCCCAACAACATACGGGGCGGTGCCAGGCAACGCCGTAGGGGCCCTGTCGACATCAAGGTCATGGATCTGGAGTCAGACCTTGCGTGGCAGATAGAGTTCAACACGTACGAGTTCTGCCCCGACGCAGACAAGTACCCGATTTTCAAGGACTTCCTGAAGAAGATCCGCATCGAGGAGATCCCCGACGAGTCTGATCCCATTGGACCCCCGCGCCCTGGTAGCGCGGAGGCCAGGAGGAGGGTCAAGAGGATCAACTGGGCGAATCTCCCAGGACTGGTGGTGGACAAGATCGTGCAGAAGACGAAGCACCAGTATTGGATCTCGAGAACGCAGTACAAGTTCGAGATCACCCAGTACGAAACCTTCTTCCCCGAGAGCATCGGGCCGAGCCGTGTGAGTCTGACCAATCTATACCCGGTCGGCATCCAAATCTCCTGGAAAGGACTGGCGACAGACCATGACGTCCGCTGGGGGGCATCCCTCACGCATGCCGACTGGACACACAATCTCGCGCAGCAATCTTTGATCGGACTGGGGCGCTCGGGTGACTGGGAGCCAGAGATAGACAGCTTTTTTACAAGTTCTGGGGTCGGGGGGTTCAATCACCCAATGTGGACAAGGGATTGGAATGTCCTAAGTGGCCCGGACCCCTGGGGTGGGGATGGGTGGAAGGAGCTCATGACGAGACTAAAGGAATTAACAAAGTTTATTGCGCAAGTGAGGGATATGAATCTGGTGTTTAAGGAGCCGGGATACGCTGGGCCAGAGGAGTTTGATGAGTAGAGCGCATATACCACTTTTTGAGAAGATTTGGTAGGCTTGGACTCGATCATTTAGTATCTACTTATATTTATGCAGGTATCGGTGTTTCTTCTTTTGTTTTGTTGTATGTATGTATGTAGTGAGGAGGGGCTTCGAGCTGTATTGTACCTACATGTACACAACCTACAGAGCTACATGTAACTGTTGGAATGGGTGGCCTACATATATATGTATACAACATACCTAGAAGATAAGAAGGAAAGGTGTTGTCTAAAACCAGATCTTTATCATTCTTATCAACGAATTGATCCCGCGCCCGTATCCTGGCCCTCCATTACAGGGCGGGCAGCATCGCCAGACGAGGAGATATTTCGAAGACAAGCAAATTGTGTCTCGTAGTTTTATGTAGATAACCACATTCAGCACCTAAGTAGATGACGTCATTAGAGTGACCGAATACATGTGGTGAGTGATTTCCCATGATCGAATTTTTTTGCCCACAACGTCATCCATCCAGAAGATAGCCAACCAGCCCGAGCAAAATCGTTACCAGCAATAGTGGGGCAGATACTCAACCAGACACAGCCACTCTTGGGGTGGTTCATGGGGCCAGGTGGTTTGTGTTATTGTTTGATTAATGTCATCAAACAACAGAATTTCTTTTTAAACGAGCAATTGAAAGGTGGAAGGAACCCACCTGCTGATTAGGTGCGTATGCTTCTTCAGAGCGTTTGTACCCGCGTGTGGATGTTCTAGCAAGCTTATTTTAACCGTATAACCGTATGGGCCCAACACTTTGCCATATTAGTATTCTAAATTAGATGAACAAAGGACTGTAGCCCCCTGCGCTATCATGTTGGGGTGCTATTCTATGCTGCCAAGATCTGTCAAATATGATGAACTTTTGTTGTGCCAGCAGCTGTGGAGGCATGAAGCATCATCTGAAGATCTGACTACTTGCGGCGAGAATAAGTTTCCGCCAAATTTGTATGTGAAAATGCGGTTGCAACAAAAAGTGGCGGCGGAACTTATTCTCGCAGCAAGTACTATAACTAAGTCTTGGCATCGAGTGATATTGGATGAATATGTATGTCACGAGTTGCACAAAGTATCCAAGCCCTCTTGAAAAAGAAACCTCAAATCTTTTGTCTATATGATCTGATCCTTTTTCAATCCCTCGACAGACCAACCACTTCTATTGAGTCGTCATGAATTATCACTCGATACTTATGTAGCATTGTCCGACACCGGACAAATGCCCCATAAGATGCATTACAATTGTGTTTAAAGGGATGATATAATCAAACAGCCACCCTAAAACGCCATGACCACTCGCTTGAGACTTCCGCCGCGCCAATATCTGCTGGTACTAAGGTACCTATACCATCCCGCCATTTTTTCTTTTTCTTTTTCATATCATGCCCACCTATAGCCCTACAACAGCATTTGTAGTTATGGTACATATTAATATTATGGTACACCACCCAATTTACTGTTGTAGGCGATATTTTTCGTAGAATTGAGAGGTTCAATAGCCCTGGTTTTGTCCGCTGCTATCCCTGTACTTTGCATTCTGAAATAGACTCAAGAGGTCGGCGCCACCGCCACTAACCCCCATTCCCGTATTGACAGGCTGTTCGTAGGATACCTGTGGTTTTGGCTGCCACTGCTGTTGCCATTGCTGCTGTGCCAGGTGCTGCGGTGGTAGCTGGGGCGCCATTTGCTGTCCTCCCAACCCCATTTCTTGATATCCCCAACCTGATTGTGGATAATATCCTTGTTGCTGCTGTACTGGCTGCTGATGCTGATGCTGCAGCGGCTCTTGAGGCTGTTGGATCCCCCTTTGTTGAAACAGTTCTAATACAGAAATGCTCCTCCCTGCCTGTGTCTGCTGCTGCTGTGGCTCTAGCTGCGGTACAGGCGTGGGTACTGCAGCAGCAGCACTAGTCGCCTGAAACGTAGTTGCACATTCCTTCGTCATTTTTAGAAACTTTTCCTTGTCTTCCGCCGTACTTGTGCCCGATTCTGAGAAAATAAAGAGTCCATATGCCACCTCATCCTCTGTACCCGACCCATTTCCATTCCCGTTCGCGGCTGCCCCATTATCGCGTTGTATGGGCTCGTTTGCTCGGAGAACACAAATCTCCCCGCTTTCTAGATCGATATCATCAGGGTTTCGGAGTTTATAGTGCCAGTTATTGAGACTGCAGCGATTTAGGAGGAAAAGCATGTATTCCTCAGTTTTAGGTATTGGGTCTTCGGGAGTCGGTAGTGGGGGGTTGAGGGAGACGAGGAAGAGAGAGCCTTCGAAACCAGCTTTGCTCCATGAATTTGAGGTTGATGACCATATGTATATGTGTGCGTAGGTAGCAATGGTAAGAATTTCGTGTAGGCGAGGTTGGTAGCGCCTGAGGACCGCGTAATTGACGTCTGTAGGAGTTCTTGGAGCCATAGTGGATGTAGAGGCTTTTTGGTGGGTGATATCTCGTGTATGAGGAGGGAGAGGGGCAGTTATCACTGAATTCTCGTGGGCTGCCTGATTTGAAAGTGGGAACAAGGTTCGCCCTGATGACGGTGATGCGCTGTACAGATACCAGTTGCAACATCGCAACACCTAAAGCAGCCTCAGGCACATGCGGGGATTACGCTGAGTCATAAGCGGATCTTAAAATGCTGCTTTTGCATTCCGAGCTGGGCACGGAGAAAGTGTTACACGGACGAAACGACACAGCAGCCTAACCTTCGTGTCCCCCCCCCCCCCCCCCCCCATCAACAACTACCTGAGAGATGCCAGTTCGACTCCTTGCTATATCATCATCACCTTAGAACCTTAAAGAAACTTAGATATTAAATAACGATGCCGCCGGCACGAGCCAACCCCTTTGGCCCGACTATGCATGTCCCCTCCTCCTTCGCACAGCAACAGGGCGGACATCCGATGGGAGTAGGCGGAGGTGGTGGGGGAGGTGGGGGGGGTATGCACAGCTTGATGGAAACTAATAGGTGAGCCGATCTGTACCCATACTATGGGATCAGAGGCGAACAGGAGAAAGTAAGGTGGTGGGAGAAAGGGACTAAGGCTAGACCTTAATCCTCACCTGCTGCTACCTCCCGCACCCTTGATCTAAGAGGTCCCCGCAACCTTGTTTAGATAGCTGCTAAATGTTAGAATGTAAAGATACCCGTCACAACAGCAAATGTTCAATGCTCAACAACAAGCCGCTGCCGTCGCTGCCCAAAGAAGCAACCAACAACAACAGCTACAAGCCCAACAGCAAGCCCAACAGCAACAAGCACAGCAACAAGCGCGGGAGCATCTTCAACAGCAGCAGCAAAGTCTTCTTGGTCTAATGGGTAGAGGCTCTTCAATAAACGGTGGGAATATTCCAGCAGGATTGGTTGGCAGGCCCGGTATGGGTGCCAACATGGGCGTTGGAGTTGGTGGGGGTGCTGTAGGTCTCGATGGAAGGTCCAATGGAGCTCTACCGCAAGGAGATTCGCAGATCAGAGATGTCTGGGCAGAAGATCTAAATAGAGAGATGGGGGTTCTTCGAAGCGTGGTGGATAAGTACCCGTATATTGCTATGGTTAGTTACAATTGGCTGAGTACCAAAATTGAATCCCTCCCCTAAATTCAAACCTATTTACGCCTATTCCCTATGCACGACGATCAACTAAATTCAGCGAACTAGGACACTGAATTCCCAGGTATCGTGGCTCGTCCCATCGGTGCATTCAAATCCAAAGCCGACTACCATTACCAAACTCTCCGATGCAACGTCGACATGCTCAAGATCATTCAGCTCGGAATAACTCTCTCCGACGAGAACGGAGAACTCGCTAAGGTTGATGGTACTGTCTGTACTTGGCAATTCAACTTCAAATTCTCTCTCAACGAGGACATGTATGCTCAAGAATCTATCGATCTCCTCACCAAAAGCGGTATCGACTTCGTAAAACATGCCAACCACGGTATCGACGTGTATGCATTTGGCGATCTCCTAATTTCCTCTGGTTTAGTAATGCTGGATGAAGTCAAGTGGATTTCGTTCCATTCGGGGTACGATTTTGGATACTTGGTCAAGATTATGTCCTGTAAACCGCTGCCAACGGAAGAATCAGAATTCCGAACGCTCCTTGGAAAATATTTCCCTGCACTCTATGATATCAAGTTCCTCATGAAATCATGTCGGTCATTGAAAGGTGGTCTACAGGATATTGCGGAAGATATGTGCGTGGCGAGAATCGGCCCACAGCATCAAGCAGGAAGTGATAGTTTACTCACCGGCAACATCTTTTTTGAGATGAGGGATCGATTCTTTGATGGAAAGATTGATGATTCAAAGTTTCTGTAAGTCCTCTCCTTTCCACTTAACTTCTTCATAGGCTAACAAATTCCTCCACCTCCAAGTGGCCAAGTCTGGGGTCTCAACGGTGCTGGTATCTCTCCGCCAAACATCAACGGTGCAGGAACGGTTGTCTACAACAATGGCATACCAGTTCCATCAACACCAACAAACGCAAACGGAAACAGGGAGTCTACATCAACGCCTACCGGCAACACAACTCCTGGGCAGGAGAGCCAGAACGCAAGGCAAACTCCTGGGACGCCAAGTTTTTACGGTAAAATGGGGGGTATGTAAATGGCAGCGATGTTTCGGACGTATTGCGGTAATCGCGGTGTTGGGGAATATTGAGTTTTTTCTTTCTTTCCTTTCTTTTGAAAATTACCTTTAAAATTCCGGGAAAAACAAAAGATTCATTTAAAAACTACTTACTGTCTTCTACTGGGTTTCACACTCCTGGGAGTTTTGCTTTCTTTTTACTCTGCTTCTTGCGGGTGTTTTGTTTCTGCGCGGGATTCCTAGTTTCTGTTTTCTTTCTTACTTATAGTTAGCAAAGGGGTTGTGTTATTTGTATGCTTCTTTCTCCCTGTTCATGGGGCATGGGTTACGGCAGGATATGGTATGATACGCAAGGTTTCAAGGCAATGTCTGTGTGTATGTAGTAGTAGTATTAGTGTTGAAGGCGTAGGGTGTGTACGCACACTGTATAGTTTGATTTTAGTGCGTAAAAACGAATAAGAAGGAATAAGGCTATTCAAGTTTGTAGAAAGAAATATGAAAAACAAGCTTGTTCATGGTGAAGGTTATGATCCTCCGCGACGTCGCAAATTACAGTGGTTTGCGGTGTCTTCCTAATTATTCTCGGCAACTGCATTTGCTATTGGGATTATAACTCGGGATTCCTGGTACCACAGTTGAAATATAACTGTCGAGTGAGTGATGGTGACGCAGTTAAGATGCTAGTGTCTTGGAACTCCTATCACATTAGCTGTACGATGACACGAATCCGACAACAGGAAATGCGTCCACACAACAGCCACACCGACCGAAGCTTTAATGGATGACTTGGGTTCCACAGTGCAGATGCGTGTATTGCATGTAGCACGTGTGTTTCTACACCAAATCCTACAACTGCTTGTCTGTGCCTTCTCAGATTATTTCAATTTTTTTTTATCTGAATCCGTGCATTCAGGAGCCCCGCCCTAAAAGGTTGTGTCATGTTGGCACTTCCACAGCTAAAATGCGGTGTCATAAAATCACTCTTCCCTACATACCAAAATTGATGTCAATTAGGGAGGGTAGACATAAACCTTGTCCAAGGTTCGCCTATTTGGCATAAGGCTCTCGCTATGTGATATTTTGCAAATTATGATTCAGTAACAGGCGGCGATTGACAGCTGAATCAGATGTCCAAAAAGAGCTCTAGTCCGAAAAGCGATGATGGCGGATAATTGATGGCGATTGGCGGTGATAATAGTGGTTCTCTATAGAGTCCCTATCGGTGTGATGGCGATGATAAAAGACTATACGGAATTCAAGTCAATATCTTATTTAGATTGGAGAAATTTCGAAAGGCGCCCAATATTATACCTGTGAGAATATGTAGAGGGTATTGGGTGTGCATGAGCCGATCAATGGTGAAATAAGGACGCACATGCATGTAGTTGATCTAGACGTCGAAATAAAGGATTTTTGCTTAGACAAATGATTGAAGCTCAGACAGCAGATCCTGATGGCTACAATTAAGAAGAGACCAGATTATAGAAATGTCAGTTCCGTTTACTTCCTTCAACCAGTACGTATTACTTTAACAAAATTACAAAGCCCTTTCTGGCCTTATACCCATCAACAAATACGTACATGTAAGTATGCCCACATCCAAGAAAGGCACATGCTTATGGAATTTACTGTTTAGGTAGCTCCATACTTTAAACTTCTAGAAATGCCACTGGGCGGCACAATGTTGGCAACACAATAAATCAAGTACGCCGCACGCCTGGGATCGTAGGTTGGACCTGCTTCTCGTTTTGAATAAGAGCACACGCCTAATCTTTGATAAGGCTAAGACTCGCCAGATAACTATTGCAAATTCGATTACATTGCGGTTCAGTTAAATGCCTTCGCGATATCAATTTCAGATGTCGCGTTAACTCTCCCAAACGAGCCAAAGCTCGCCAAGCTTTGAGTCCCCCCTCACTAGCCCCACCATGGCAAATCGGTTCAATTGACTCAACGACCCCTCAAAAATCTGTATTTCTAGCTCCCAGGTGCCCAGCTCTAGCTCAAAACATACCAGAGAAGAGAAAGTGACAGATACAAGATGGAATACGATACTAAGACAAGTAGGATATACCTCAATTGCTGAGATTCTAGTCCAGGAAGCTGATCATTTACCCCTGCAGCGCCGTACAAGACCTCCGATAAGTCTTCTTTCGCGTATGTTTCCGTACGAGATCGGTGGCCTGTCATTTTGGTACTGTTTTCCCGACTCTCGTTCTCGCTTTTGGACGGAACTGACAGGACTAGACACAAGCTATTGACGATGTTTTCCGACATACTATGGCCTCAAAGGACCCTGAGCATACGAAAGAAGGAAAGACAATCGTTGAGCAACTTGCCAAGATGAAATATGAGATGCAACACGATCGGGTGGTTACGTGAGAATATATCTAACAGCTTTAAACTCTCAATGAATGCTAATTCGGCAAATTAGACCCTTAGAAGATGACGGCGAAGAAGATATCAAGGATTACAACAAGGAACTAGAACAGCTTGGTAACCCCAAGTGGTTTGAGGCCCCCTGGTTGTTTATTGAATGCTACTTTTACCGGTAATTAGTATTCCAACCCGGCCATCTTAACATTGCTAAGTTCATGTTTAGTCGAATTCAAGTCTCAATGAACCTAACAAAGACCTGGAAATCACACGACGTTTTCCACCTCCAAAAGAACGACACATTCAAGTCCTCTCTCGCCGCAGTTCTCGAGCTAGCTTCAAAATACCGTCGGATTGTCGAAGGACCTTCCGCCGCCGAAGAACTTACCCCTGAACAGGTCGCCGAGAAAGAAAAATTGCTGTTCATCGAGATGGCAGAGATCTGCCTCTGGGGAAATGCCACAGATCTGAGTCTGTTGACCAGTTTATCCTACGAAGATATCCAGAAACTCCAAGGAAGTGAGGCACGGAAAAACAGTGAAAAGAACATCCTTGTCAATGATCTTTCGGATGTTTACGAAATGCTCCTGAAGCAGAAGAATGAGGGCAAGAAAGAGCGAAGAGTAGACATTGTCCTTGATAATTCTGGGTTCGAGCTTTTCGTAGACTTGATCTTGGGAGGTTATCTTCTCTACGCCGGACTGGCGACAGAGATTGTGTTCCACCCCAAGAGTCTTCCGTGGTTCGTCAGTGATGTCTTGCCAAAGGATTTTGCCGATCTTTTGAACGCTCTACACGATCCTGTGGCCTACTTCTCTTCTTCAGAGGAGCCTGAAAATAACAAGGAGAAGAAGGTTGAATCCCTGAGCGATTCTCAGAAATCAGACCTCGAATCCTTGTTTTCTCACTGGAGTAAATTCCACGCCGACGGCAAGTTTGTACTCCGTCCTAATAGGTTCTGGACGGCTGGTGGCTCCTACTGGCGTCTGCCAAAGACTGCTCCAGAACTCTTTGAAGACCTGCAGAAATCGGAACTAGTCATTTTCAAGGGAGACCTCAATTACCGAAAACTCACCGGTGACGCCGACTGGAATCCTACAACGAAGTTTGAGGAGGCTATCGGGCCATTGGGAGAGGTTGGGAGCGGCATCAGAGTACTTGCACTTAGAACCTGTAAGGCCGATGTTGTTGTGGGACTTCCTGAAGGGAAGGATGAGGAGTTGAGGGCCGGTGACGCAGCGGGTGAGGGAAGAAAGTGGGCATGGAGCGGTAAATGGGCCGTGGTCGAATTCTGGGACGGGAAGGCGTAAGTCCCAGAAGGCCAACCTCTGAAGCCTTTTTTAATGTTATAGAGTTAGCCACCTTAATTGATGTTCCAATGCTTTCTAGATCTAGATAGGTTGGAATAGAAGAATGATACCAAATGATTTTACCCCAGAATCCGGATATTCGGATTCATCTATGGCCGGTCGTATAAAACATGTGAACGAGGACTGGTCGGTGTTTACTTTCACCGAGATCGATATGCAGATGATTGTTTCTGTTCCCCAGTCTGATTTACACGTGAGATATGGGGTCATTGATTGTCACACGAGATCCTTTATACCCCTCCCGGATTAACTCCGGTCGCTCCCCCTTACAGCTGTCACATCAGAAGCTCTATTTTTGAGCTATTTCCGGGTTCCATCCTGACGAGATTGAGTGTTTATATGTCGGACGAGGATTCCCAATGCAGATATGATTGACGTCAGCGGAGTAACGGGAACAGGTACCTTACGATTTAAATATTAGAAACCCCGAACTACCATTTTACCCCGCAAAATAGTAGACCCCCCGCCGCTAAATGTAACCTTAATAATGGTAGGCAGGCATTAGCAGAGGGAAATCATTGGCTTTAGGCTGATTGGCCATGGGGGAGACAGGGAAGGTAGGGATATCTAGATGAAGGAGGTTGCATGCTACTATGTAGGTACGGTAGGTACCTGAGCAGGTATAAAAGATGTGAAGGGGGAACATGTTTTTCCTTTCTTTTTCTCTTGACACTTCTGGATATCGATATCTCAATCGTGAACGGTTCACCTATCACTCGATAAAGACCACGTGATTAGCTATGCTGTTCAAGTCCAACTTAGTCGCCCTAGGGGCCATACTGTTCTCCGGTGCTGTCCATGCTTCTCTCCAAATCGTAAGTTCAAGCCTGGCCTATCCTATACCTATATGACTCCTATTTAATCAGACCCTCTGACAAACTTTAGGTCTCCGGCGGTTCCTGGACCGCCACAAACACAGGCATGCACATCCAAGCGCACGGTGCTGGTGTCATAAAGGTCGGATCCACCTACTACCTTATTGGCGAAAACAAGCTCGATGGCTACTCTTTCCAATCGATCCGCTGCTACTCCTCCACTAACCTTATCGATTGGACCTTCGTCAACAATCTTCTCACGCTGCAAGACTCTGGGGATCTCGGACCAAACAGAGTCGTTGAGAGGCCCAAAATCTTGTATAACTCTGCGACTAGCCAGTATGTCATGTACATGCACGTCGACTCGAGCAACTATGCCGACGCAAGGGTCGGGGTTAGTACCAGTAGCAGCGTGTGTGGAGACTACACGTACAGGGGTAGCTTCAGGCCGCTAGGATTCCAGAGCAGGGATATGGGGTTGTATCAAGACTCGGATGGGGCCGGATACCTGTTGACTGAAGATGTCGGTTTGATCATTGACTTTCCTTGGCGGTGAATGGGGACTGACTGAGTTTTGAAACAGAGAGAGAATGGTCTGAGAATTGATCGCCTGTCGGATGATTATCTGAATGTGACGTCAAATGTCTATACCTGGGCGGAGAAGTACGAGTCCCCGGCTGTTATCAAGAAGAATGGGGTGTACTTTATGTTTGCGAGTCAGCTTACCGGGTGGAGTATGGTTTCCCTTTTCCTGAAGACTAGCTATCGTGGGCAGTGCTGATGCTGGTTAATAGATGCGAACGATAACAAGTATTCTACCGCAACAAGCCTGAGTGGGCCATGGTCAGCATGGGCAAATTGTAAGTAACGGTGCATCTCAGAGTTGGTAAAATGTGCTAATCTTCGAGGATTAGTCGCAACCAGCGGGTCCAACACTTACACATCTCAAACCAACTATGTCCTGACCATTGGCGACATGGCCATGTAAGATCCCTACGATGAAATGCTAGTTGAAACACTTATATTAACGCTTTGTTCCAGGTATATGGGTGACCGCTGGGTTTCCTCCAACCTGATGTCCTCCACGTAAGCTATCTACCAGTTCAATTTCCTTCCAGCCCTACTAACCCCATATCCATAGATATGTCTGGCTCCCACTTACAATCTCCGGCACCACCGCCTCCCTCACCTGGTACTACAACTGGGTCATCAACGCCGCCGCCGGTACCTGGTCCACCCCACCCGCCGACAACTCCTACGAAGCTGAATCTAGCACCAACACTCGCACCAGCGGCACCCAAATCTTGTCCTGCACCGACTGCTCCGGCACCTCCGCCGTTGGCTACATTGGCGGTTCTGCAGGCGACACGCTCACCTTTAACGGAATTTCCTCCTCAGCCACAACCAGGACTACCATCAGGATGAGATATACAAACGGCGATACCACACAGCGATTTGCAGACATCACGGTCAATGGCGTCACACAGAGGATTGCCTTTGTACCCACAGGCAGCGGACAGATTACGGGAGTAGCGAGTATGACTTTCAACTTGAACAGCGGGACGGGCAACACGCTCAAGGTTGCGGGGGTTGATGGTGCATACGCTCCAGATGTGGACCGGATTGTGGTGCCGGTTTCGTAGATATCAAAACATGTTGCTGTGATGATACTTGTATGTATGCAACTGCTGTTTGTGTATATATAGATTGGTGTAGCAGGGGGGGATGTTTGGTTATTACTGCAATTTCCAGACTTATTAGTGGGAAAAAAGAAGGAAAAAAAAGGAATTGATGTTTTCAACCCACCAGTTCGAAAGTGCTCTGTTTCAAGGTCCATCAGGATGTAGTGATTTTATTGGTTTTCTATTAATTTTCCGAATCAATTTCTCCTCTAAAGTTTTCCCGTCACCATAGATCACTCGCCTGTCAACCATAAACCATTCGCCGATCAACCTCATTTCTCCGCCTCCCTACCAATCCCATTTCCTCACCTACCATATACCTACCCCCCCAAAAAAAAAAAAAATCTAGCCCCCCACATCGCTCCCCACCTTTCTACTCACCACCTCCCTATATCCCCACCCCCCCTTCTCACCGATCACCTTCTCCTCCTCCGTCTGATCCATCCACTACTTATACTCCTTCTCATACTCGTCATACTCATCCTTAAGGAGGTGCGCCTTATCCCTAAGCCTCGCAGTCACCCTCCTCACAAGCCCGGGCCTAGTCTCTCCGCTGGTCAGCACGCAGGCGTCGCAGTCGCTCGCGCCTTTGACGTGCGTCGAGTTGCTGTATTCGGGCTCGTGGGGCTTCTCGTGGCAGATGGGGGCCGTGGGGTGGCGCGCGTAGTGCTTGTGCGTGCATTTGTAGGTGGTGATGGTGTATTTGCACATTGTGTGTGTGGTGTTGTGGTGTTGTGGTGTTGTGATGTTGTGGTGTTGTGAGGCTGTGTGTGTTGTGTGATGTTATGCCTGCGCTTGGTGGTTATAAAGGGGGGAGAGAGCTTTTCAAGTGCGTGCGTTGGTGGTTGTAAATAGAGGTTGATACATGAAAAGCCTTGATGTTTTTCAAGAGAGTTTTTCTGTCCCCCATGGAAATTTTACAAAGCATACACAATGTACGTATACTTGAAGAACAAACAGATACACACATATAGTCCTTGTCAACAATAGTTTTGCAAATCCGCGGTACCTGACCAAACACAACAAAAGAAAAATGCTGGACACTCATTCGGTACAAGAGATTTCTTTCTTTACGTAAATAAAGCCAATACACGGAAAAACCTTCCTGATGATACGGAAGGAGAAAGAATTACTATTTAATAACATACGTACATGTAGTGGGCCTGGACCGAGCTACACTAGCTACAATTCATGAATTCATTGATCATTGACTGTGTAAGGTATTTGGTGGATACGAAGAATGGTTGTTTTTTGATATTGCTGTTGTAATTGTGGGTGTCGTGCATGTGGGAATTAACAGAAACATACGGGAGGGTCACTATATATATATACTAGGAAATATAGTAATAAAAGGAGTCGAGGCACTTACACAATGATCTACGAAATACAGAATAGAAGCTTTCGATTATGATTAAACTATCTATTAACTAACCATCCCAAGAACAGAAAGAATGAAACTACCTAATATTCCGCTCTTTTTATTTACAAATCTCATACCCACTCCAGGCCCTTCCCATGCTACACCACCCATCACCCCCGAGTGACCACCCATGACCCCGCCTAAATCCTCACCCCCCACCCCCCCATACTCTCATCCCACTCCCACCATCCCCTCCACCCCACCGGCGTCTCCCTCCCCCAACACCACGCCCCGACCCCCGCCACCCACTTCCACACACTAACCGGCACCGGCTGCATCGCCCACATCCCGCCATACTTCACCTCCTCAAAGAAGCTCCCACTCGTCACCACAAACCACATATTCGCCCACACATACGGGCCCCACCTCCTCACCCACCCCTGCACCACCCCCTCCCCCTCATACACGCACCTCGGACACCACCGCACCACCGCCATCTCAATCCCCACCCCGACCGGCTGCCACAAGAAGAACCGCGCAGACCCCCACCCGCCCCCCGCCTGCGTATACGCACCGCCATAATGCATCGCCGCCGACAGCGCAAACGGCCACCCCAGCTGCATCACTGCCGCCGCGGGAGAGCCCCGACCAAGGCCACACCGGCGTACAACGCACCGTGCCGGCGCCGTAAACACGTTTTTGAAGAGGCCGTGCCACGCCCTGCTCCACCAGCCCGTGGTGCCCCGCCCCCAGTCACCCGCTGACCAGCTGCCAAACATGTCGGGCCATGAGTGCCAGTGCAGGTAGCGCCTGCGCCAGCCGTCTTCGGTGCCGAGGAGGGCGCCGAGGAGAACGGCGGCCAGGGAGACGAGCGTGTAGCCACCGTTGAGGGAGACGTAGAGGAGTGTGCCGGTGAGCATGTGGCGGGTGGTGTAGAGAGATACACGGTACAGCAGCCCGAGTGCGCCGGGGGGGATTTCGGGGAGGCCGAGGGGCACGGGGTGCTGCTGGGGGCGGGTGCTCCGTAAGAAGAGGCTCGGATATACTGGTTCCTTGACGGAGGGGTCTTCATATGCGTTTCCGGGAGGGAGGAAGTATCCGCGGTCGACGTGCTGCACCAAGAACATGGCCATATCGAGCCATGCGTAGATTATGAGGATCCGATTGAAGCGGCGGCGGAGGTAGACGCTCCGGGACTCTACCTCTGTGGAGGAGAGCGGCGGGATGGGCCGTATTTGCCAGGACCAGCCAATGCCGCGCATGGTGACTATCAGGTCGAAAGTCCACCATATCCTGCGTTTCAGGTCACGTGGGTATGCTTCTCCTTCTTCTTCTTCGTTTTTCTTCGTCTCCCCCGCGGTAATGGGCAGTCTCCGGAACTCTGTGCGAGGGTCCCGCAGCAGGAGGAGATTGATGGAGGCGAATACGTGGTACATCACGTATGAGCCCACAATGAAGCTGGCCGACGGGCTCGGAGATGTGGTCTGCAGGAGATTGTAGTACGACAGTGCAAGCAGTGGGAGTATCAACGTGGTGGCCAGAAGGCGGTTTGGGATCATGAGGGCTGCCCATAGCAGGACGTTGGGCGTGGCGAATTCGTGGAGGACGAGAGGCCGTTTCGAGGTTTCCATTTTTTTGTCCTGGAGAGAGGATTTGGGTATGGTGGTTTGGCCTTGAGTTGGATCCCCTTTCTACAGCGGGCTAGATATCGGAAGTTTGCTTTTCGCCATGTATTGTACAGCTGACCTAGCTCGAGATGATGTCATCACGAGACAGGACTGACGGTGAGACCTTGGGAGAGTGCAGGGACAGCCCCTGGCGGGGACGGGGGGTCGCTGCCAGGAGCGTTTGGGCATATTGCTGGTTGGTTTCTACGCTCAGTATCTTCTGCTGGCTACTGGCTGCAGAGACATGTAAATAGTAGGCTGCAGGTTAGTAAATCAGATGAGCTGCTGCGAAATGCAGCAGGGTCTACACTAGCCACTTGTAGATAGTGGGTTAGGGTTGTAGCTTGTATGGTTACACAGTGAATACTCCGACAGCCAAGTAGAAGGAGTTGGTTGTCGTCCTCGAAAGAAATTAAGGAATTGGGAGTCCATCCTGTGTCCACAACTCAACAGACCACGAGCCTGGGTTAGCACTTGCAGCAGCTGTTCCTTCACCCCTCCTAACGGCCCTAAATATGTATACATACAAGTACATACCAGTGCAGTGCCGGTTCGCAATGTATTGGAAATTGGCCGAGTATGGGGGTTAATCCGTCGCAAAGCCTGCCAGTTGAGGAACTGCTCGCAGCAGAGAAAATGTGAAGTGACTCGGGAGGTTGATCCTTGGTTGCTTGTGTTCATAATGAGAGAAGAGAGAGTAAAGGGTTCAGTCCACTCTCCTCGATTAAGTGCAGAGCTTCTTTAATGACAACTATATTACTAGTGTTCTTTAACCACGTATGATGTATTCATTCTTATCTATTAGGACTAGTTGTCAGTAAGCTGGCCAGGCCCCGAATGTGCCTGTTGTTGGGATAATGCGTGTACTATTTCGAACTGAATCATACTTCATGATTAGTGCCTAACTAGGGTCTAGAAAGTACGTCCAAATCAGACTCTATGAAGTGCCAAGTCAGTGAAGTGCCGATAAAGTAGTGGTAGTGAAGCACCAAATCAGAATAGATGAAATATATTAATCAGACCAGAGCAGAAATGAGGCCGGCAACACCTCCCTAGAGTATTTATCCTTTGACAGTGTGGTCCACGAGGGCGAAGCACTTCTAGCACGCGGTACACCCTTTAATGGGGCCGATGTACCTCGATACGTGGTATATTCCTAGTCGAGCCGACTCGAGGCAACCCAGAGCAGATCTTCTCAGAGGCAGATGCCTCGATGCGCCTCGTGGACCACACTGTTCTTTGGGTACCGTCGAGATAACAAGAAACTCACGAGTGGATTATGGCCCGGATCAGCGTGTAAAAAGAATAATTCCCCTCTACTCAGGCGGTGCTTCCTGGTTTCTAAACGAGTTTAAGGCATAGGCGAGATCTCCGCAGCAATAACGCTCAAATCGCAGGTTCGATGGGCCGTAGATCAGCTGCATGAACTGCCTATTTCGGAAGCGGTGTATTCGAGTGACCGAACGTGACCGGGGGCTAGGGTTGTGATCTCGCGTTGCTGAGTCAACCTAAACATCTTCGACGCACCGCGATTTCCTCAAACCTTCGCGCAGCTCGACAGAGAGCTTCATTTCTCAATCCCCGACATCGCCCACTCCTTCCCACAACAATCACCGCCCCCGAAACTCTCCAAAACACAGACCGTTCAGCCCCGTCAGAGCTGTCGATACAATCCTCACAGCCGCCACCTCCGAGCCAAGTTTCCCTGCGCGTCTCAGGGACCACATCACAATACCCAGACGACCCCCCCCCCAGGTCACCCATTCCCTCCCGCACCTAACCCCCGCGTGCAGTCCCAATGGCCTCCGCCGCCCTCCTCCTCAACGGCCTGACCCCCCTCCGCCACAGCCGCTACGCGGACATCCCCCACAGCATCGACATCCCCGTGTCCGCCGGCGACGAGGACGACGATGACGAGACGGCCGTGGTCGAGGTGGACCCCAACGGGCTGCCCGACGACCCCACGGAGCTGTGCACGCTGCTCGAGAACGAGCGCAGCCCCAGGCAGTTCTGGATGTACATTGCGCTGGCCTATGCGAAGCACGAGCGGGTCGACATCGCGATCGAGATCATGACGAAGGGGCTGCAGGCCCGCGCGGGCGACGCGGCTGAGAAGCTGCCGATGCTGAACCTGCTCACGTGGCTGTATCTGCAGCGGAGTAGGGAGGCGGCGAGGAATGTGCCTGGTGGGTAATTGCGGAGCAGCACTGCTCTACCCCCTTTAGGAGGATGTTGTGGAAGTGAAGTGTTTGGATGGATGGCTAACTGGATGGGTGTATAGAGGGGGCGATAGCCTCAGAGGCAAAGACAAAGGACTACTATCTCCAGCTCGCAACCCAAGCGCTCAACGAGTCCTCCCGCCTCGACCCCTCATCCGTGATCTCCGGCCTCGCCCGTGGTGTCTACTCAGTCTTCAAGGCGTCCGTCTCCACATCCACCGAGAAGGGCCACCACCTCGACACCGCCACCAAGATCTTCGACGATGCCATCCGGAACTCGCGGTCCGGCAACATGCTCGCCACAATGGGCAAGGCTAGAGTTTTCTACGCACGCAGGCGATTCGACAAGGCTCTTGAATGCTACCAGGAAGTGCTTCTAAAGAGACCTGATATGGACCCGGACCCAAGGCTCGGGATCGGTCTCTGCTTTTGGAATCTCGGGCACAAGGACGATGCCGCCATCGCCTGGGAGCGGGCACTGGAGCTGGACCCGACGTCGAAGGTGGCGCATATCCTGCTGGCGTTGTACCACCTCAGCGTCACCGCCGCCACGCCCGAGTATGATCCGAAGTTCATGGAGAACTACCGCCAGGTCATTGACCACACGCAGAAGGCGTACAAGATCGACAAGAACTTCCCCATGGCGTGCACAACGTTCTCGAGCCACTTTTTCTCAAAGAAGGGGTACCCGCAGTGTGAGGCGCTGGCCAAGAAGGCCATTGAGTACAGTGACGTCGCGGCGGTGACGGCGGATGGGTGGTATCTTTTGGGGCGTAAGTGGCATGCAGAGGGCGATTGGGAGAAGGCATTGACATACTACCGCCGGAGCGACAGTCTCCGCGAGGGATGGCTACCCGCCAAACTAGGGGTTGGGCAGGTTCAGGTCTTGATGAAAGGTTTGTTTTATATTCCATTCCACACATGTCACTCTACAGAAGAACACTAAGTCTAACAACCCGCAGACATCTCCTCCGCAAAATACACCTTCGAGGCCGTCGTCCAAAGCTACCCCAAATGCCTCGAAGCCAAGACCATCCTCGGCACCCTCTACGCGCACGAAGTGCTCCAATCCATCCCGCGCACCGGCTTCGCCGCCTCCAAAGAAGACGTCACGGACCTTCACCGCCGCGCCATCGGCCTCCTCGAAAGCGTGCGCGCAGCCTGGAAAGACAAGAAGACCGACCCGACGCGCGAAGCCCTCCTCCTGACGCTCGCGCGCCTCTACGAGAACGACCAGCCCGAGAAGGCGCTCGCCTGCCTGCAGGCCGTGCACGACATCTACACGCAGCTGCGCGAGACCGACGAGGAGACCATGGTGCCGCTGCAGCTCCTCAACAACATGGCCACCTTCCACTGGCACAACGAGAAGTACGACCTGGCGCGGCAGCTCTACCAGACAGCCCTCAGCTCCATCCCGGAGCTCAAAGAGAAGGACGACAGCGCGGACACGGACGCGCTGGCCACCACGCTCACGTACAACCTTGCGCGGTGCGAGGAGGCCGCGGGGAACCTCGACGAGGCGACGAAGCAGTATGAGCAGCTGCTGACGCGCCACGACGACTACGTCGACGCCAACATGCGGCTGGCGTATATGGCGCTGCGGCGGGGCGGGGAGGAGGGCCCGAAGCGCATCCAGAGGCTGATGCAGAGTGATGGTAGCAACCTGGAGGTGCGCGCGCTGTACGGGTGGTATCTCGGCAAGCAGAAGCGCAAGACGGCCATCAACATCGCCGAGGACCCCGAGCAGCGCCACTACAAGCACAGCCTGCAGTACCACGACAAGCACGACCGCTACTCGCTCACGGGCATGGGCAATCTGTATCTGCTGACGGCGAGGGAGATGCGGCGCGACACGGAGGGCGAGAAGGAGAAGCGCAGAAAGACGTATGAGAAGGCCGTCGAGTTCTTTGATAAGGCGCTGCAGCTGGACCCGAAGAATGCGTATGCGGCGCAGGGCGTGGCCATCGCGATGGTCGAGGACCGCAAGGACCTGAAGAGCGCCGTGCAGGTGTTTACGAAGGTGAAGGAGACGCTGGCGAGGGATGCGCATGCGTTGGTGAACTTGGGGCATTGTCTGGCGGGGCTGGAGCAGTGGGGGAGGGCCATTGAGAATGTGAGTTTGAGTCTTTTTTGCCCTCCTCCGTCTTTTTTGATTTTGATTACGGTGCTTGCTTATTGTCCGTGCCTTTTGATATTGGGGTTGTTACGCAATTCGTGGTATCCTGGATGGATGCTCGAATGTTGTTTTGCTCTCTATCTTCATTTTATTGTTATTACTATCATCTTCTTTACCCTCTACCCATACCCATACCCATACCCATACCCGCTCTCCCTGCATCCGATCCTACCACGATCATTCTCTATCTCTATTTCATTTCATCTACCGTACTCGCCCCCTGCCTATTGCCTGATTCCCACGCCCATCATCGTATTCACCTTGAATGCCGGGGAGTCGGCGTTTCTAAGCAGCCATCACTCCACTCTCTCCTATCCCGTACCTACAGCGTTACTTCTGCTCTGCTTAGGCTATTCTCGCCCGTATCGCACTGCATATCGCTCGCTCGCTCTACCTCCAGCGCGTAACACCCCTGCTCCATCATGTCACGCCTGCTTCTCACGCAGGGCTATTACATAGCTACATGCCATACCTACATAGCTACCTTCCCCCAAAGCCCTTGCTGCTTATGCAGCATCCTACCACCCCTCCCTCCCCCATTTCTTCACTTTCCCTCACTCTCATCCCAGCTCCACTCATCTTGTCAACGGTAATGGAAAATGGAAATGGGGCCAGTCTTGCTAATATGATTATCCCGCATCTAGTACGAGACGGCGCTCACAAAGTTCCAGCACGGCAAGGACCCCACGACGCTGACGTGCCTCGGCCGCGTGTGGTTCGCAAAGGGCAAGAAGGAGCGCGAGTCGGAGCCCGAGAAGTCGCTCGAGAGCTTCAAGAATGCGCTGGACTATGCGAAGCGGGTTTGTCCCCCCCCCCCTTGCCTTCCTCTCTTTCCCCACTGCTATCTACCTGCGAGAAGAGGCGTTCTTAAGCGAGAAGAGTTGCGGGGATTAGTGATGCTTGCTGCGGGGATGATCGCTGCTGGTTGCTGGTTGATGCTTGATGCTTGATGCTAACGGGGGGTGCAGGCACTGGCAATTGCGCTGGACAATGTCATGTTCATGTTCAACGTCGCCTTCGTGCAGTTCCAGATTGTGCAGTTCTCGATCAATCTGCCGGAGACGCTGCGGACGCTGGAGGATCTGGAGGCGGCGAGTAAAGGGCTGGATGAGGCGATTCAGTAAGTTGCTTATTTCTTTCTTTTTGGTCTTGTCTTCTTGATCGGTCGTGTGCCTGCATTGCCGATGGCACGGGTTCCATGTCGGGCAGGCATCTTGGTGCATTCCTTCTGTCCCCCGCCCGAACATGGAACCGCGTACATCGGCGGGCCATTCAACTCGGCAGAACCGTGGACGATCATTACCCTACATTATCTCGTCCCCGCTAACCCGCTCCGCCCCCCTAGGATGTTCACCGACGTCGCGCACTCCAAAAACCCCCCCTACCCCGCCCCCGAGATCGAAGCCCGCTCCACCATGGGCCGCAACACGCTGCGCAAGCAGATGGAGCGCGCGCTCCAAAAGCAGCGCGAATACGAAGAAAAGAACGCCTCCAAGCTCGCCGAGGCCCGGCGCAAACGCGACGAAGACCTCGCCCGCCGCCAAGCCGCCGCCGACGCCCTCCGCCGCGACGAAGAGGAGCGCAAGCGCGCCATCGCCGAGCAGCGCCGCAAGATGCAGGAGGAGGCGCGCGAATACGCCGAGCGCAAGGCCGCCGAGGAGATGGCGCGCGACGACGGCGACTTTGACGGCGACGGCGAGAAGCGCAAGAAGCGCGGCGGCGGCGGCGCAGGCGGGAGTAGGTCTGGCCGTGGCGGCGGCGGGGGCGGGGGCGGCGGTGCGGGTGGCGGAGGCGGGAGGAGTAAGCGGAAGCAGAAGGATGAGACGGTCGGCTCGGACACGGAGTCGGATGCGGCCGGGGCGGCGAAGGCGCGCAGGAATCGCAGTAAGAGCGCCATCACGGACGACGACGGCGAGAAGCCGCCGGCGAAGAAGAGGAAGAAGCTTACGCGCCGGCGCGCGGCGAGCCCCGGCGCGGGCGGCCGCGGCAAGTTTAAGTCCAGCGAGGTTGTCAACAGCAGCGATGACGACGACCTCGACGACCTTGTTGTTCCTGCTGACAAGGCGGCGGCCACGACCACTGCTGCGGCGGCCGCGGCAAGCGCGGACGAGGGCAGGGGGAAGGCGCAGAGGAAGAGGAAGCCGAGGGCGGCTGTTAGCGACGATGAGGAGGAGGAGGATGGGGATGATGATCTCTTTGGGGACGATGAGGAGAAGGGCGCGAAGGCGGATGTGGAGATGCCGGACCGCGCCCCCACGCCAGGGGGTGCGGCGGGCGATGACGAGGAGGATTGATTACATAGGTGCGTGGTCAATGTGTTTCCTCTACGGTTTCACACAGGGGGCAGAGAAGGAAAGAAGGAAAGAAAGAAGAAAAAAAAAGGATGAAATTAGCTAGCTAGCTTGGTGTGCGTGTCATTGTAGATTAATTCTGGAGCAAATCATTTTTTTTCTTTCTTTTCTCTTTTTCACTTTTTTTTTGTTTTTTAAAGTATCTTTTTTTCCTTTCTCTTTTTTACTTTTCTTTGAATATCTGTAACTACCAGCACAGCAATTAAGGGATGATCACGAGGATGACGACTGCGGCGCGCGGGGAGAAAGGGGGGAGGCGGGGGAGGGGGAGGGGCAGCTGGCAGTGGGTCGGGGGGGGGAGGGTTAGCTATTTTCCAGTGTAGTTTTACATACATCATTTGGGCCAAACCAGCATCACGGGACAGGCACATACATGTACATCGATACATTTACGATTTCTTCTACATACACTTTCTTCCACCTTGCAGTAGTCCGCATCTTCTTCCTCTTCTTTTCTTCTTCCGTGACCTGTTCCTGTGCCTGTGCCTGTGCCTGTGCCTGTGCCTGTGCCTGTCTACAAATCCGTCCCTTACCGGGCCGGCAGGTACAATCTCCAATCTCCAATCTCCAATCCCCAATTCCCAATCCCGGCCGGCGAACCTTGGCTTTCAGTCTTCTTTTTTTTTTTTTTTTTTTTTTTTTCTCTCTCTCTTCCCTTTCTTTTTCTTTTTCTTTTCCACGAGCGGCGGCCGGTCCGCCGTCGTCCTAACCTACATACATGTATGTACCTACATGTACCTACATCTCAAACCCTACCCTAACTCCAACCCTACCCTACCACGCGCAGCAAAGGAAAGAAAGAAGGAAGGGGGGGAAAAAAAAAAAATCCCCACGTGTATTGCGTCAAGGAGCTCCTCCCATTGGCTCCCGATCTCGCCGGGAGGGCCCGGGGCGGGGGGAGTTAATTAGACGTCGTAGAAACCCGAAAAAATCCACGGCGCGCGCGGCCGCCCGTGGAAGGATGGTAGATGTACTGTGCCTGTAATTTCGATGGAGCCATGGGAAATAGGGAAGATCGTGATGATCTGCGTGGGTGGTGGTGGTGGTGGTGGGGGATTGCGAACTGTTTTTTTTTTTTTTTTTTTTTTTTTTTTTTCGATTTGCTTTGGGGGGTTCAATTGGGTTTGCCGGGTTAGGTTTTTGGCAAGTGGTTCTGGGTGGTGCGCTTGCAGCGGGGAGAAAATTGGGTTATGGTATGGTAGAGTAGAAAAAATTAGGGGACATTTGACCCTTTGAGGTTGCGATATTGGGAGACATCTCACGAGAGTGGCTGGTGGCAGGCCGGCCGGTTGGTGATGCAATACCTAATTCAAGCCAAAAGCAAAGCAAGCCAAAAATGAGGAGAGCGGGTACCGATTCCATAGTAGCCAGCCAACAGACTCTCACGCGCGCACGCCTAGCTCTAGAGTAGTACTCTACTGAGATCTCGCCAGTCAGATATCAGATATCTGGATTTTTTGCAAATTTGCATTTTCATGTCATATCACATACTCCAGCTCGAAATCTACTCTTTAATTTTTTAATCTTCCAAGCGCTGTCCAGTCCAGTCCTGCCCAGTCCAATCCAGTCCAATCCAGTCCATGGCCACCACCACCACCACCGCCGCGCGCCTCAATTAACTCTAACTCTAATTTACGAAATATTGCGATATGTCTGTTTCTCCACATTCATAACCATCATCTTCGCGGGGGGGCGGGGGGCGGGGGGCGGGGGGCCGGTGGGCGGAGAGAGAGGCCGTCATGTCACAGCTTATAGCTAGCTCTAGCACGTTGCATGTCAAATTCCTAATATCGATCATATCCAATACCCAATCGCCAATTGCCAATCGCCAATTGCCAATTGTGTGGGGGGGATCAAGACCAATTATCACCATCGTGAAATTCAAGTGTAGCTGTAGTAGGTATATACATCACGTTGTCAAATTTCCTAATGCCATACCCAATACCCAATACCCAATACCCAATACCCAATCGCCAATTGCCAATTTTGTGGGGGGGGAGGGCGGGCGGACCAATTATCACCATCGTGAAATTCAAGAGTAGCTGTAGACTGTAGTAGGTACATGTAGTAAAGTACAATATAGTTAAAGTGGTTAAGTTACACCCCCTGAACCACCTCTCTCTGGCCCGATCAGGCACCCCTCGCTCGTATTAACACCACACATGGCCATTTCTTTCTTTTTTTCGTTCCTTTCTACTACCCCTTCCTGCTACTCTACACCACAGACAGATCGATGATCGCAGAAAAGCAATTAAGCACAAAAAAAAAAAAAAAAAACCAATCAAGTCCTAATTTAATCATCTACTCTACTGAGCTACTACTCCTCCCCATGGCACGCAAAGCAGCTGGTCATCTCCGCCCGCGTGCGCGCCCACGATACATATCGGTACTGTCGATCCAGCCACCACATACTCTACCCACAACCGCGGGTGGTGGGGGGAGGGGGGGGGGGTGGAGGTAGGTAAATAGGCCGGCCTCGTGGGGTACGCGTGGGAAATAACCCTCATGTCGCTAGCTACCTAGCGCACCGTCTGTTGGGTCGCGATAGTAGGTTATTATAGGCAGCTGGGACGATGGGTAAATGATTACTATACCCAGTAACTAGTTGCCCACAATCACCCGAGTTTGTGGCACTGTAGATAGCAAGGTGGAGGGTGGATATGTAAGTTGATAGCTTGACAGCTTGCTGGGTTTGGGGGTGTTAATTAGCCAAACCCTAGCCCTGCCCTGTTCCTTACCACTGGCCCTATGGGCCTACTATACTCTACCTTGCCGTTGGGATTCGGGGGATCGATAGTAGAGAGTGCCTGTATAGTGCGTACCTAGCTGTGTGCAATCTATTTACTGTACCCAACCATGTACCGACCAGCTGTCATAGCTGTCTGTGTCTGTCGACAACGCGGCCAGCAGAATCCGGAAACACTATCTAAGCACCGGAGAAGGGGGGGGGGGGGGAGGAAGCATTCTAGAAAGGAAGGACAGTCCTGTCCACACCCACTGTCTAAGATACTACTCTAGATATCCATTCCCCCTATCAAGAAATACCCAAACCAATTGAATACTACAAACCCCCACAGCAGGACATGACAGGGCCGCGGACCATCACCATATATCAGATAGAGTGTTTTTTTTCTGGGTTCCATGTCCGCGTCGGCCCGGCGGGGTACAGATAGACATGAACCAGCTGCCAGCCAGCCAGCCAGCCAGTAGTTGTTGCTACCAAACCGTACTGCACCCGAGGAGACGAACGTTATAGCTACCGCTGTCAATAGTAGCCGTATTGGCGATGAGGGCAAGACATATATGTCGGCCTAAGTACATGCTCAGGGATGATACTACCCAGAACATGCAGGGGAACGGCTAAGCGTTTGGACGGCATCGCGGGCAGCCAACCGGCAATGGGCAGTAGCTAGATAGTTGATGTACGGGGTGATGGGTGATGGGTGATGAGTGATGGGTAATGATGGTGGTGGTGGTGATAGTTACATATAGTCTGGTTTACTCTAAGGATCACAGGTTACCCCGGAACCGAGTGATAGCGTGTGTACGAGCATCCAATCCATCCCGTCTTTTTTTTGCGCGGCCGGACGAGGCATTTTCTAATCAACCAACAGCCTCCTGCTCCCACAAGCCCACGCAGTTTGTTCCGGAATTCTGGTAACGAGAACCCGGCGGCGAGGTGCAGGGCAGGGACTGGCTGTACTCGTGGAGATAGAGTTGCTGGACCTCAGTGTTGATAGAGTATTGCATATATGTTAGCTATGGTGCGAGAGGCCTTGTGGGGCGACCTTGTAATCCCTGTTCACACCAGTTCAGTATTGTAGCCCTTACAGCCATAAAGTCGAGTTAGAGGTGAGGCTCTTCAATGTTTGCTTCCCGGAGCCAATGAAAGAATTGACTGAACTGGTGTGTACAGGGTTGACAAGTTCGCCCTCTACTCCCTCTTGCACCATAGATGGTTAAATACGCCGATTGAGTAAAGCGTGTCTATCGCGAATATCACTCGTAAAGCTAGGAGCAAACAATGCGACATCACAATTGAAGCTTCGCGGTATATCGGGACGGAGGGAGCAGGCCCCCGCGGATCGGCCCCATGAAGCTCGGGCTTGAGCTCAGGCAGGACACGAGATACCTATTATGATATATGATAGGACAAGACCGACGATGATAGCTCAATTGCGGGTAGAAGCGAAATCTCTCATGGCTGACCTGTGCCTGTATTATGGTGCCATGGTTTCTTGCATCATTTTGTGGAGCGACTCCAGATTTATTTTACTTTTTTGCCGCCAATTGATATCTCAGAATTATCGTGGAGGCGGAGACAGCACTTAGACCTCGAATTAAGGTTAATTCGAATTCATGTCACTTTCTCATTAAACACACAAACATCTAGATGTCGACGAACGAATAAAAGTGTAAAATCCAGGCCGACCAACATTGCGTTGTTTGCGGGAGTAGCCACCGGCTTAAGCTTCAGTGGAAGCCAGACCGTTGAGCAAGCTCTAGAACCACCAACTCTCACTCACCTCCGAACATCTAGAGTTGCCCGTTTGTTTCAACCCCGTGCGTTTCATCTTCGCCGGGGGGAACGGGAGAAACAAACCCGACGAAACAATACGAATTAAACACGCACACCGCAGTGCAGTGCAGCGCGTATATCCGCCGACGTCGTCGTGGACCGTCGTTGTCGTTGTCGTCGGCCTCCCTTCGCCCACACGCCACCCCCCCCCCCCCCCCCTTCCTCTTCCAATTAGCTACCGTCCGCCGTATTCCCCAGAAAATTCCTTTTTTTGCACATCGCCCGAGGTGCCAGGATTGAGCCATTTGTTTGCCTGCGAGTCCTACACTCCTACGGGGCCTGCATACCCTACCCTGCACTTTGCTCTTTTCTACTTACCCCGGAGAAAGCCAAGGGGTGCACGCACGTGTGGGGGCGTGGTGTGCGGTGCAGTGGTCAATTGATCATTGATGATGATGGAAGTGCCACCGTAGTGGTGCTGGTGCTTGTCCTGGCGGTCCAAAGATGAGATACAAATCGAAGTTCAATTTCGCTTCCATGGTTGGCAAATGGTCTGTTCCATGCCCGATGCCATGCCACACAGAGTGGAGAGTCCGCCATTACGGTAAACAAACGTGCGCAAAGCCAATTCCACAAATGAGATGATAAAAATAAGAGATTGGCGGTGCAGCATTATAGAAATAGAATAAAAAGCGAGATGAGATGAGGTACATAGTAGATGAGGTAGATGAAGGTAGATGAGATGAGATGAGGTATGTAGCCGCATTCGTAGCCACAGACCGCCCGTGTCCCAGGCCTGCTGCACTCTATCTCGCTCGCTGACTAAAACAAACGACTGAGCGCGTCAACATATATTGACCTTACTTTAGAAAAAAGCGCCGATACCTGCTTGCCTACATGTAGATAACGGTAATGAAAACTTCGAATTAAATAATTCCGGCCCCTAAGAAAAGTCCGAAGACGGTAACCTGGTTGTCGCATCGAAGATCGTCAGTCCCAGACAGCGGGCGGGTGGGGTCCCAATACCGTTATTATCCCCGGTCCTGTTTTTAATACTTACTCGATCAGTAAGGTCAATAGGGCTGGCAACGGAGAGGCGCTAAATAAAGTTCTTGGACGATAACCTCGTGGTGTTCGCCGACTCAACTGAAAGGAGGGAGTTAGGTCGCCGCCGTACTTGGATTGGATGTTACGAGCTTTCCTGCCTTCCTTCTTGGATCCTTCTTTCATGGCTTCTAGTATGTATCCCTTCGTGGCCATCAAGGTGCACATTAATGTCATTCTGCTGTAGGTATGCCCCTCAAGTTTCCTTTTGAAACAGCCCAACAGATAAACCCGTGAGAAAGTAGGAGACCTGTAGGTTCTGTAGTACTTGGTAGTTACTAGTGTACTACTAGCTAGTAGAGTAGTAGAGTAGAGCTTAGGGACTTTAGTAGTAGTGGATTCGAAACGAACTTATGCGGTGTCAGAATTCTCCATTATGGCTCTACATCTTTCTTGCATGCCCAGAAGACTATCCAGAGCTTTGACAAGGCTCAACATGATTCCCGATATTGTTTAAGATCCATTTAATTCCTCACCCCCCTTCTCCGCCAACCCGTGCGGCATGCGGTTTTTTTTCCCACAATTGTAAAATCCTTATTTTATTTTTATATCTTCTTTCTTTTCTCGCGTATACCGGATGACGTTAAGTGAATTAGTGTCTTGAGTTTTGCTCGGTGTGAGTAACAAGTTGAGCAATTAGGGTAGGTCCTTGAGCCCCTTGGAGTAGTAAACTCTGGTAGCGGGGGGTACGAACGAGTGCCTAATTCAAGACGGGAGGGGGAATCGAATGGGGAGAAAAGTGGGGATGATGAAGAGTAAGGAGTAAGATAGAGTTAGAGTTTCTTGACTTTTCATCTCCTTCCTCAACATCTTTCCTCTCCGCCCATCGTACCATATGTGTAGATGATAACCATATATCATGCAATCTTTCTTTTTCAGTGATCGAGTGATCGAGCTAGCATGAATGCTGCACTGCATCTCTCTGTTCCAGATCTATTCCCCTCCACACTCCACCTGACCAATACAAACCCCCATTCTGTCCGTCTGTGGTTGACTCAGACTCCCCAAAGCGGTGCGGCCGGAACCCAAATAATCCCACAACCACTTACGGTTCATGCAGGCACAGAGAGGGAAGAGATCCATTTCGGGAGGAGCAATCGCGCACATTAGGCATGACGTCAAAACGAGAATTCGAATACGTAGAGAGAAGGCTCTGATAATCTCCGTAAATACACATCTCTGGCTAGCCAACTAGACTACCTATCAGCAAGCGAGCGAGCGAGATGTGAAAAAGGATCTTGTTGTAGCCTGTTGGTCTGGTCCTTAGGGGTTAAGTTTGACCTCGCGGGGAGATTGCACCAAAGCACCTGGAAATCCACCACCACCACGACCTACTCTACTTCAGAAGAGTTGGTAGAGTAGTAGGGTTTGATTGGAGATGCTTGGCTCCTTCTCATTCCCGACGTGGGTTCGTTCGTTCGTTTGGGTCGCACATGACCCAGACCAGGACTGGCGCAATGATCATCTATACCACATCTGTAACCGTTCTAGCGCAGCATGCACAGATGGAGCTTAGCTGCCCTAACCACACTCCCAGTTTAGGAAATATGAAATGACCAGGTAGGGTATGATGCGGCACTCACTCGTCCGAACGGGGGAAGTGTAGAGTAGAGAAGGAGCAGGAGGAACAGGAGTAGTCTAAAGTGAGTACAGCAGCACCTTAGATGTAACGGTGCTGTGTTTTGTATTGTCAGACAGTTCACGATGCTTGTGCTGGGGACAACGATAACGCTTCTGCATGATATTTATGCGGTGCGCGTAAAGTGATGGGCGAGGTCACGGGCGGCGTGATGTTCTCACGTGCATTCGCGTGTATCAACGAGCGAATCTTTCTGGGAAGTGCCTTGAAGGGAATACAGGAAGGGATGATGATAAAATGGGGAGTAGCTTGTAGGCACCACATATCTCTACTCTACCAGATAGGGAAGTGGTGATATGTAGTGTACTTCCTCTAGGCGTAGCGCTTCCGCGCGCGGCTTCTCGTAGCGAGTCGGAAGGCCTACGTAACGCACAGTACCTATGTGCGTGTGTGTATTTCGCTTATGGTTATGATTATGAGGGTGTGAGACGGACAAAACAGAGTTGTTTGTAAGGACAGACAGGGAGGGGAGGAAAAGGGAATTAGTTGAAGTGTGTGTGTGTGTGTGTGTGTGTGTGTGTGGGACATCATTCGGGTATGTACCGTTGTGCACCCCCGACGTTGACGGCCGCCGGTGACAGGAGTGACAGCTATTTTGCATCCCCGTTGGAGCTTCGGAGAGGTCTACGAGAACGGATTTGTTTCCCTTTCGAATACTTTAACTCCCTCGAGAGAGATATGTGTGTGTGAGTGTGTAGTGAGGTGTGTGGGTGTCTCCCCGTAATGTATCTTGTTTAGACAGCCAGCCCAGTGGAACAGTGGACCCTGAATTGGTTATGTGGAAAAAAGAGACGAAGGAGGTCCGGCAACCCTCCGATCCTTCGATAGTGGAACAGTTCATTGGTGAGGATGGGGGATGTGATATTTTCATTGCCCATGTTTCTTTTTCTGGATGGTTTGCTGGCAGCGTTTCCGGGTCTCTGGGTTTTGTCGGTTGGGTCTCTTGTTTGCTTTTGTGAGTCGTAGTGGCCGTAGTTCACTAGACGTTCCGAAACACGCTTACACAAGTAGCTACAAGCGCTAGCTATGTAGCTGCGTCTTCTGTAACAGAAACCTTCTTTTCTTCTTGAATCACCTAATAATTATACAGCTAGAGTAGTACTACTGCATGTCGAAGGCCGGATATATATCTTTTTTGTTTTTCCGTATACATCTTGACTTCTCTTCTCAATGGGGAGAATTGAAGGTCTCACTGGGGTCCAATTGCACTCAATATCAACCGTGCACGGCATTCCTGCGCCGTAGGTCATCTTAACTGAGCACTTCTCTTTAGCACCTTGAGAAAGTATTGACATGGGGGCGCCAACGGGCCGGGAAAAACTATCGGAAAAGTCCGTCCCCTGTGAGAGAAAAAAAAAGTTATTCCCTACATCCCATGTCTGTCTCCAGCCTCAAGAGGAGAGGAGAATGGGAAGGGAAAAAAAAAACGAAAAAAACACGGACACACACAAGGTGACTCTGTTGGACCTAGTGTTCAAAAGATCATCCCTGAATGAGCTTTGCCCTACGAATACAGACCCGCTCTCCTCTTACTCCCTTGTTGGTTGAACGGAGATGGAAATGGAAGGAGAAGACAGGTCCGGATTTCGGTGAGGGTACCGCTGCCTTACGGCAGCTCACAAGAAGGAATATCCCACAATGTGTTCGGCTCCTAGTTACCGTGCTCGGGGTCGACATGAAGTCCGTTCGTTCTCAGCCTAGTGACATAATGATGATGAGAGCGATGATGAAGAGGTTCACGAAGCTTTTTTTTTTTTGAGGGGATGCGTAGCGTGAGGTGTAGCGTAGTGCGTGTCGATAGGTTTGTCAGTAGTGCAGACAAGTAAAGTAAGTTCCTACATGTAAAATATTATTCCCAGGGTCAAGTTACGTTACGGAAGCCAACCAAATAAAGCCGTTTGGCACGCGGCCCCGCATCCCTAGAATCCTTCGGAATCAATTGGACTGTGTAAGCGGATGAGTGCATGGCATGTCGAGACGCAGTTTTTTCCCCCTCTTGCCTCTCCCTTGTGACGATTTTTGTTAGTCGTTACGTATATACCCTTTCTTTCACTTGGTGAAACAGAGAAGCCGTATTATCTCTTGGGAGACTAATTCAAATATTGAGAAGGCATATGTCTTAGGTAAAATATAGTGTGGACAACAGGCGCCTCACAGAAGTGTAACTTGTGGGTGGCTCTGTATTTTGTTGCTTCTGGCGTAGGTAACTAGCCACTGAGATCGTGAAGCTGTATCAATTGCACGGACAATTGTTCAGTAGTATCGATGTGATTGTTTCTCTCTTCTTTCTCTCGGCGCAAGCGAACAGACGACGACGTCGTGCCGACACCCCGATAAACCATACATCGATGGTAGCTGCTAGACTCTGGGGCAGGCACAGGGAGCATTTACTAGGAATACCATAATACCTGGACCTAGGCATCTATCCTTCCCTACAACAACGACCCCTCGTCCTCCTCCCCTTGACGTGGGGAAGGGGCAGATGTGCTGAGATGGCTCAGCCCAACCCCCGTCATCATTTTGCCAAATAACTATCCCCGTAGAAATTCACACTGGGGGATCAGCAATCTAAAGCAAGGGAGCTAGGGACGGTACCTACTCCAGGTAAGTGGTTTCGACCTTCTGGAGGTCTGTTTTGTTTTTCAGGGTCTGGCTGTATGTCAGGCTATTTTTTGACCCTCTTTGTTTTGAAGCGAGGGATAGTCAGTTCGTACGATTATCGGACGGGGGGGGGAGTGTGTCTGTTCTGTTCTGTTCTGTCTATCTCGTCTTGTTTTTGGGAGTGGACTCGTGTTGTTAGCTACTGGTAGTGGGTTGTTTGGACCCCTTACCAAACTCAAGTTGTGGCTGAATCATG